AAAAAAGTTTCAAACGACGTCGCCGTTCTCTTGCGAAATACCTTCTCACTTGAGTAATATTTCATATTTACACACGTGTGTTTTATTCCTTATCGATCAATTTTTGTTGGAAAAGCAAGTCGACTATGGGAGCAGCGCCTTCAGATCATCAACATGATTCTGTAATGATACATAATGCTCAACATGCAAAGAATTTTGCAAGAGATCATGGTAACAACAAGAAACATTACGAAGCGAGCATTGAACAAATGGGCAAGCTGTTGAATTTTCAAAAGAACCCAATCAAGCCGAATTTAGGCGACCAAAATGATATAAAACATATCGAAATCGATGGTGTACATTATGAAATAACACAATTCATTAATCGAGGTGGTTTTGGACAGGTTTACAAAGCACAAGATCGAAAACGTAATCGTGTAGTGGCTGTAAAAATTATGAAGAATACTGCTGGCGTTCAAGAAGAAATCCAAAGTGAAATTCACTTTCTACGCTTAATTAAAAGCATTGCCATTGATAGTCATCCTGTCATTGACTATTATGGTTGTAAATTTACGAAAGAGAGTATTTTTATTGCGATGGAATTAGCGGCAACTGATCTGTTAACCTTTTGGTTTAATAATGCTGCTCACAGAGAACCACAACAAAAATTTATGTTTGGTATTGTCATTATTGTTCACGTCCTTCGCGCATTGATCTTTCTCGAGAAACTCAATATTATTCACGGTGATATTAAACCACAAAATCTGGTCATTGTTCAAAGTCCGCGTCAACATTTCCATGTCAAGCTAATTGATTTTGGTACGGTAGAAAAAATGAATACTAGATGTGCACTGATCACTGTCGACGCTAATAAAGCTTATACAGTTTATTTTGCTTCACCAGAATTTCTACGTCGTGATTCGAACAATGTTATGGCTCGACATTTGCATAAAAAATCCGATGCATGGGCAGCCGGTGTCATGTTCTATGTCTTGTTTTTCGAGAGATTTCCATGGAAGAACGAATTCGAATATGAAAATTTCTGTAATAGTCCACATGCAAGAGATATTATTGTCCCACGTGAAGGTGGCTACAAGGCAATTATTGAACTTTTATTGAAAAAAGATCCAGAAGAGCGTGCTAGCGCCAAATCAACATATTTACAAATGAANAAAAAATCCGATGCATGGGCAGCCGGTGTCATGTTCTATGTCTTGTTTTTCGAGAGATTTCCATGGAAGAACGAATTCGAATACGAAAATTTCTGTAATAGTCCACATGCAAGAGATATTATTGTCCCACGTGAAGGTGGCTACAAGGCAATTATTGAACTTTTATTGAAAAAAGATCCAGAAGAGCGTGCTAGCGCCAAATCAACGTATTTACAAATGAAGGGACACCCATCATTGAGTATTATCATCAAAATATTTCACGAAAATTTCTGTTCTGTTGACAATGTATGTTTTATGCAAGTGCCAATCGATCTGCGACAGGAACTCAGTAGGATTCCGTTATGAACTTTATCTAGAAGGATATTTAGAATTTTCTTCTAGGTAAACTTCCTCGATCTGCCCATCGCAATCCTGCAGCTAATCCGCCGGCATCAACGATATTGACTTCAGTTTGTAAGTATCGTTTTTGATTGTGCGAAGTTCTAAATCAATGCATTCTGAATAGTCGGTGCACGCCGTCCGTGTAGATACGGTCGAGCATGCTACAAGTAGGATTGTGATTATACATATAGACTAGTTTTAAATGTACTTTTATTTTGAAGTTTTGAACGTGATCACCGCAAAGAGTTTGCACATCCAGGTGATTCAGATTACCGTGTGAGCGGTAGTAATCAACAGGATGAAAAACTCAAATGTCGTTATGGAGCGGATTGCTTCAGGTAATTGAGTATCGAAGAAAAGCTTTATAATATATTTATTCGTCGCAAAGACATGATTCCGAGCACCGAAATAAATATGTCCATCCAGAAGAAATAGATCCAGGTCTGTTGAAAAAAGTGAAGTGTCGATATGGAAGAGCGTGTTATGAGTAAGCATCGAATCTTTCTCTTTCTCGTATTGATTTTCTTGCGTTTTTAGTAAAACAATCGATCATTTAAGGACATATTCACATCCTGATGACTTCCACAAAGAAAAATGTCGCTACGGAACTCGTTGCTATAAGTACGATTGCTTTTTTTTACGATTTTCCTTCTCTTTTATTGGAAACATGTGTATTTAGAACGAATGATCGGGAACATATGGCGAGATTCTGGCACTAATCATACTCCATATATATACTCAGCTATATTTCAGTTTTTTTTGAAAATTTTCTGCAAAAAGGAGAATAAAATTCCATAAGTTTCATGATGATTTGGTTGATGTTGTTTGAAACTCGGGCATTGAGCGTTTCACATCCTCCATTGACCATCGGAGACTTGGACAATCGAAATAGGGCACTGGCTTAAAGATTCTGTGACCGGATGGACGCCAGGGTGTCCCCTTGTTCACGACAGTTCGTGGTTCAGGCTTGAGATCGGGCAATACTTTCGATGAGTTTCTGTCATCGATGTTAATGTTTGCGTGGTAAACGCCAGTTGGTTTCCATGGTCCATTGCCATGATTATTTCGTATTGTAGATCGGACATATTGACGTATCGAAAGTGGCGGGGTACTTTGAACAGAAAAGTTGTGCTTCCTACAGTACTCCAGAGGATCCCAAGGATTCGGTCGTGATGTTGATGTATGTGCAGCAGTCGTACTCTTCTCTCCATTCATTCTGAATGTTAAAGGTGAAAAATCTCTGCGGCAACGACCATTTATCGCTTCCAGTACTTAAATATATGTCGTCGTTAGATAAAGAGAAAGATTTATTCGTAAAAATCTTTTCGAAGTTGTTATTTATTACTGAAAAGAAAATACAATTACAGACCGAAAGTAAATAAGCGTAACGCTATTCCCCGAGCACTCCTTTTTCGATATATTCATCATAGTGATGTTCGTCGCATAGTTATCCCGATTGAAAATACACAAAAGAACTAGATGGTAATACGTTAAGTGATGTCAAGTTTCGATGTTAACAACTATGGTTACATTGATATATCCGTATTTTCCGATTCATTACAATTATGCAGAAATCCTTTGCCTTTTCATGCTGAGAAAAAAGAACATCGTATGAGTGATAATAGAATGTCAATAGTTCCAAACATGACATGAAGCTCAACCAAGGGGAGAAAGCGAGACTTCATCTACCTCAGATAGTATTTGAAGTCTGAAGATTCGCTTTCCGCCCCTTTGCATAGATTAAAAATCAGCTGTTAAAACATTAGAAAGATCATCAATATCTCAAGCAACAAATTCAATCAGCATTTATTGCTCGAAACCATTTCATTTCATTTTTATTGAAACATTGAATGAGATCTTCTATTTAGGTATTCTTCAACCAAATTATATTCCTTTAACAAAAAATAACTCAAAGAATCGATTGATTTCATCGTTGCCCCTCAATTAATAAATTCGTAAAATGAAACATTTGCTCAACAATTGATTTTATTCCTTCTGGGATTACCACGTTTGATTCTATCATATTTATCGAAAATGTGCGAATTCAGGTCATATTCTTTTCAATCTACTTGACGTATGATAATTTCGAAGTACTGTGGATGAGCTCTATTTGTTGAATATCAGGGTGTGCAGGCTATGACAAAAGAAAATAAATGATAAGAGAGCCATGTCATGATAACATGAGCTTGGTTTGGTGCGCAAAATAGATATAAAAGCATTGCTTTACAAAAAATATATACTATCATTTTCTGAAGGTACGATTCACCAGCTCCTGTCGGCTACTTCTTCACAAGTAATCATATGATAATTACGTTGAAGTTTCAAATATCTTCAGCTAATATATTACTATTGATCAGAGATGTCGTCATTTACGGTGAAAGTGCCGAATATTGAGATCAAATACACTAAAATATTTATTAATAATGAATGGCATACGGCGACAAACGGCAAAACATTTCCTGTTTTCAATCCTAGTACAGGAGAAGAGATTTGTCATGTAGAAGAAGGCACTAGGGTTCGTTGAATTCCAATTGTTTGACCTAAAAAAAGTTTTTTTTGTTTCGAAATGTAGGAAGATATCGACAAGGCAGTTGAAGCTGCTCGTGAAGCTTTTCGTAGTGATTCGTTATGGAGAGAATTGGAACCGTCTGCACGTGGTGGTTTAATGCGTAAATTTGCTGAATTACTTCGACGAGATGTTGAATATTTGTCGGTCAGTTTTCTTTGTGTCGGAAAGACTATTGAAAATTCTATCTTGTAGCAATTAGAAACACTGAATAACGGCAAAACATTAGTGAATAGTGAAATAGATATAATGAATTCAGCGGCTTGTATTGATTATTGTATGTACTTATTTTCACATACGTTCTGTGAATTTAACTGCATATGTATGAAGATGCTGGATGGGCAGATAAATTCACTGGTGAGACGATTCCGTCGACACCAGATCTATTTATTTATACACGTCACGAGCCAGTTGGTGTCTGCGGGCAAATTATTCCATGGTAATTGTACCACAGTATCATCTTCTATAGGATCTCGCCTATTGTTTCTTTTAGGAACTATCCGGTAGACTTCTACAGTTACGAAATGTAAACGAAATTTTCAGCATCTTTCAATTTAGGTATTAATGCTGGCTTTGAAACTAGGTCCAGCTTTAGCTTGTGGTATGTCAATACAACTCCGTATTTTTCTTTACTTATATTCATTATGTTCTGTATCTTTGTATGTATAGGTAATGTCGTTATCTTGAAGCCAGCAGAAGAAACACCACTTACAGCTTTATACTGCGCTGCTCTGATCAAAGAAGTATTGTTTAAAGTCATCATTTTCATTAATCTTTATCTCAATATGATAGGCTGGATTTCCACCAGGTGTTGTCAATATTGTACCAGGTGATGGACCGAATTGTGGACACGCCATTGTCGTTCATGAACGTATCGATAAAGTGGCATTTACAGGTTCTGTTGAAGTAAGTTATTTATACTGTTTTGGTCGAATAAACGAACTGTTCAACATATTTTTCGTTATATAGGTCGGTAAAAAGATTCAAGAAAATGCTGCCAAATCCAACTTAAAACGAGTCACACTGGAACTTGGTAAGTTTAGTAAAAAACCTATTCTCTAGAATTGTTATTGCCTTATTAAAAAAAAACAACAGGTGGAAAATCGCCTTTGATCATCTGTGAGGATGCTGACCGTAAGTACATGATTTTGTTCCAGCGAGATCCTCGTCATCGAAAGATATTTCTAGTTGATTTTGCTGTTTTTGTTGCACACGAAGCTATCTTTCATAATGCAGCACAAAACTGTATCGCTGCATCACGTACATTTGTACATTCAAAAATCTATGATCAATTTATCAACAAGAGTGTGGCACTAGCCAAAATGCGAGTGGTTGGTGATCCATTCGATGATAATACTCAGCAAGGTCCTCAAGTAAATCGATACAGGCGAGTTTAGTAATTAATTCGAACTATCGGTTGCATAGATTAGTAAACAGCAATTCGACAGGATTTTGAAATATATCGAATTGGGTAGGAAAGCTGGTGCAAAACTAGAATGTGGTGGCACAAAAGCCAACGATCAAGGATATTTTATTCAACCAGCAGTGTTCAGTGGTGTCAAGGATGATATGGAAATTGCTCGTGATGAGGTTTCCTTCTTTTGACTTCGATGCCTACGAATCTGTTGACAGACGCTACACATTTTTAGATTTTTGGGCCAGTCATGTCTGTACTCAAGTTTGACTCGTACGATGAAGTGATTGAGCGAGCTAATGCGACTCCCTTCGGTCTAGTCGCTGGTGTGATTACAAAAGATTGTAAATTATATATGAATTAGCATGTAAACAACTTTTGATTCTCTACTGTAGTGACACGTGCTCTCAAGTTTGTTCAAGAATTGCAAGCTGGTTCTGTTTGGGTGAATACGTATGGTGCAATGAAATTCCAAGCACCATTCGGTGGTTTCAAACAATCAGGTCAGGGTCGAGAGCTTGGTAAATATGGTCTTGAGCCTTATTATGAAGTGAAAACAGTGGCCATGAAGCTTTTATCAAAAATGTGAAGATTTTTCTGTGGGAAATAAATGATGAATAATGGGACAATAATTATTGCCAGCGATGCGTACACCTACATTGATGATTCACTTTTCTTGTTTAGTGTCTCGAATTTCTTTTGCATAAAGTATCAAATAAAAGACGTTTTATCTTGAATAAATAGACCATATTTATAATCACTCGTTCGTTGTTTTTTTGAGATACTTGTTTTTCTCTACTATAATCGTAGATTTCTTTTTTGCGTGTCGACCATGGCGTGGATTCCGCGTGGCCTCAATAACCTTGTTGATCAAGTTAGAAAGAAAACAGCTCACTATAAATCAAAAAGCACATGCTCTTAATTCTGTTTTCTAGACACCACTGGCTGAGAAATCAGCTGGCAATAGCAAGGCCTTGTCAGATGCTGCTGTGAGTACCGACAAATCAGTCGAACGCAACGGTGCTATTATTTTCTCTTCTCAATAGAATCCTGATAAGACAGTAGCCAATGGTATCATGGGTCTTACTGCATCTGCTTCGAGTTCAAAACCCAAAGGTAACATTTGTCCACGTTGTAATAAACCTGTTTATTTTGCTGAGGAAGTCAAAGCGGTTGGACAAGTAATCAATTCTAATAGGAAATTCAAGTCCATTCTGATACTTTATTTATAGTCTTTTCATAAATTATGCTATCGATGTACTCATTGCAAAAAGAGTATCAATGGTGCAAATTTTTCTGAACACGATGGCAATCTTTACGATAACAGTAAAAATTAAATATCTTCCGTTACGGATATCTTTACTTTCGTTCTTCGATTGTTTTAGATTGTTATCAGCGTTTATTTGGTCCCAAAGGTGTTGGTTTCGGAATCGGTGCAGGTGCTTTATCAACAGGCAACTAATTTACTGATCTATCACAACGCATTGTATAATGACTCGAATATATTCTTTCCAAATAAAATACTTTCAAACTACAAACATAGAAAGATAAAGAGAATCATGCTTCATTCTGAATTTGTTGAAGATTCCAGTTCAGTCGTCGAGCCAATATTCGTACGTGGACCTTTGAACCAAAATCGTGCCGAGAATATATGCACCAGCGATGAGATCATCAACACGGATCCAAATCCGACTGAGGCATAATTCATGTTCTTAGCCGTCACNNAAAAAATCCGATGCATGGGCAGCCGGTGTCATGTTCTATGTCTTGTTTTTCGAGAGATTTCCATGGAAGAACGAATTCGAATATGAAAATTTCTGTAATAGTCCACATGCAAGAGATATTATTGTCCCACGTGAAGGTGGCTACAAGGCAATTATTGAACTTTTATTGAAAAAAGATCCAGAAGAGCGTGCTAGCGCCAAATCAACATATTTACAAATGAAAGGACACCCTTCATTGAGTATCATTATCAAAATATTCCATGAACATTTCTGTTCTGTTGACAATGTATGTTTTATGCAAGTACCAATCGATCTGCGACAGGAACTCAGTAGGATTCTGTTAACAGCTTTATCTAGAAAGATATTTAGGATTTTCTTCTAGGTAAACTTCCTCGATCTGGCCATCGCAATCCTGCAGCTAATCCGCCAGCATCAACGATATTGACTTCAGTTTGTAAGTATCTTATTTGATTGTGCGAAATCCTAAACCAATGCATTATGAATAGTCGGTGCACGCCGTCCGTGTAGATACGGTCGAGCATGCTACAAGTAGGATTGTGATTATAAATATAGACTAGTTGTCAATGTACTTTTGTTTTGAAGTTTTGAACGTGATCATCGGAAAGAGTTTGCACATCCAGGTGATTCAGATTATCGTATGAGCGGTGGTAATCAACAGGATGAAAAACTCAAATGTCGTTATGGAGCGGATTGCTTCAGGTAATTGATTATCTAAGAAAAGCTTTACTATATATTTATTCGTCGTAAAGACACGATTCCGAGCACCGAAATAAATATGTTCATCCAGAAGAAATAGATCCAGATCTCTTGAAAAAAGTGAAATGTCGATATGGGAGAGCGTGTTATGAGTAAGCATCGAGTCTTTCTCTTTCCCGTATTTATTTTCTTGCGTTTTTAGTAAAACCATCGATCATTTAAGAACATATTCACATCCCGATGATTTCAAGAAAGAAAAATGTCGCTATGGAAGTCGTTGCTATAAGTAGGATTGATTTTTTTACAATTTTTCTTTCTTTTTTATTGGAAACGTGTTTTGTGTATTTAGAACGAATGATCAGGAACATATGGCAAGATTCTGGCACTAATCATACTCCTTAAATATACTCTATTTTTCAGTTTTTTTACAATTTTCTGCAAAAAGGAGAATAAAATTCCATAAGTTTCATGATGATTTGGTTGATGTTGTTTGAAACTCAGGCATTGAGCGTTTCACATCCTCCATTGACCATCGGAGACTTGGACAATCAAAATAGGGCACTGGCTTAAAGATTCTGTTACCGGATGGTCGCCAGGGTATCCTCTCTTTCACGACAGTTCGTGGTTGCGTGTTGTTTTTAGGTTTATTTTTCATATCTTTCAATCTTTGACGTTCTTTTTCTTTCGTTTCCAGTGATGCTGATTTTACATAACGATGAATACCCGCTGTAAACCAAGGAGTTCGTGAATCTTGATGTGGCTCTTTTCGTGGTTCAGGCTTGAGATGGGGCAACGCTTTCGATGAGTTTCTGTCACCATTGTTAATTTTTGCGTGGTAAATGCCACTTGGTTTCCATGGTTCATCGCCATGACTATTTCTTATTGTAGATCGGACATATTGACGTATCGAAAGTGGTGGAGTACTTTGTACAGAAAAGTTGTGCTTCCTACAGTACTCGAGAGGATCCCAAGAGTTCGATCGTGATGTTGATGTATGTGCAGCAGTCGTATTCTTTTCTGCATTCATTCTGAATGTTAAAGATGAAAGTCTCTGCGACAACAACCATTTATCGTTTCCAGTACTTAAATATATGCATTGATTGTAATCATAAAATATTTCGTGGTTAGATAAAACGAAAGATTTATTCGTAAAAGTTTCTTCTAAGTTGTTATTTATTACTGAAAAGAAAATACAATTACAGACCGAAAGTAAATAAGCGTAACGCTGTTCCGCGAACACTTATATTGCGATATATTTCGTCATAGTGATGTTCGGCGCATAGTTATCCCAATTGAAAGTACACAAAAGAACTCGTAGTAAGTTGAGTGATATCAAGTTTCGACGTTATAGCAACTATGGTTACATCAAAATATCCGTATTTTCATATTTAGATAGATACTTTGAATCTGAAAATAATTCGCTGTTTAGCACTACCATCGACACTCCTACCGCTCGCGTATATAATACCGCTTATTAAACGTTTCACTTCTCTTCTTTGTTTCTGATTACTTTATTAGACATTTCATTGAGTGAAATTAGAGAAAAACGAATTATACAATCTCATACATTTCTATTCTCTTAACAACGAAAGATAATTTAGGCAATAAATGTTTATTTGATGTTTCCATTCAGAAGATAGATATCTTTCTCGCTGTGAAGCAGAGCAATATGAATATATATATATATATCTTCGGAACGGAAGGGTTAATACCAATCTGAAATGTTATTTTTAGAATTCGACCAATAATTGTGAGCCTTCGTTTGAAATGAGATCTTTCCGATTCGTTACAATTATGCAGAAATCTTTTGCCTTTCCATGCTGAAAAAAAAGAACGTCGTATGAATTACAATAGAATGCCAATGGCGCCAAACATGAGCTGAAACTCAACCAAGGGGGAAAAGTGCGACTTCATCTACTTCAGATAGTATTTGAAGTCTGAAGTCTCACTTTCCCCCTTGCATAGACTACAAATTAGCGCGAAAAACATTAGAAAAATCAACAATATCTCAGGCAACCAATCCAATCAGAATTTATTGGTTAAAACCATTTCATTTAACGTTTATTGAAACATTGAATAAGATCTTCTATTTAGGTATTCTTCAACCGAATTATATTCCTTTAACAAAAAAATAATTCAAAGAATTGATTCATTTCATCATTGCCCCTCAATTAATCAATTCGTAAATGAAACATTTGTTCAACAATTCTATTCTTTTATCTTTGGGATAATCAACGATATTCTTTCATCCATTACATTAAAAAATCAACTTCATTCAGATGAATTACGTAAACAACTTCGACGATTATTAATTGCACTTGTGGTTTTATTTCTTCTTGGATTACCGCGTTTGATCCTATCCTATTTATCAAAAATGTACGAATTCAGCACAAGATATATCAGTACTTCTTAATGGATGTTTCATTTCATTTATTCCACCACTCATTACTTTTCTTATTTTTGTCATTCCATCAGAATCTTATAGAAAAGAATATCAAAAGTCAATAACACAATATCAACAGCGTTCTCCAACGAACATGTTCAATGTCTGGCAATGTTGAAAATAAATATTGAACTTTCTTTCAAATCTAGTTGGTTTGCTTTGGTTTGTATTATATGCTTCGCAACATTGAGAATATGCTAATAAATCCTTTCTACACAAGATTCATGTATGAAGCAGAGATCGCACCAGAACGAATAATTTTCTGTCCCGTCTCGTCTCTCTCCTCGTCCTTTTTCCTGTAAAAACGTTTCTATTAGCACCTTATTCAAACAAATCATGTAGATAAACATTATCTATTGTATTTATATCACCGTTCAGGCCATATTCTTTTCAATATGCCAGACGTATGATAATTGCGAAATACTGTGGATGAGCTCTATTTGTTGAATACCAGGGTGTGCAGGGTATGACAAAAGAAAATAAATGATAAGAGAGCCATGTCATGATAACATGAGTTTGGTTTAGTGCGCAAAATAGATATAAAAGCATTGCTTTACAAAAAAACATATACTAATATTTTCTGAAGGTAAGATTCAGCTCTTGTCGGCTACATTCTTTACAAGTAATCATATGGTAATTACGTTTAAGTTTCAAATATCTTCAGCTAATTATATTACTATTGATTAGAGATGTCATCATTTACGGTGAAAGTGCCGAATATTGAGATCAAATATACTCAAATATTTATTAATAATGAATGGCATACAGCGACAAATGGTAAAACATTTCCTGTTTTCAATCCTAGTACAGGTGAAGAGATTTGTCGCGTAGAAGAAGGCACCAGAGTTCGTTAGATTCAAATTGTTTGACCTAAAAAAAGTTTGTTTTTTTTCGTTTCGAAACGTAGGAAGACATCAACAAAGCAGTTGAAGCTGCTCGTGAAGCTTTTCGTAGTGATTCATTATGGAGAGAATTGGAACCGTCTGCACGTGGTGGTTTAATGCGTAAATTTGCTGAATTACTTCGACGAGATGTTGAATATTTATCGGTCAGTTTTCTTTCTGTCGGAAAGACTATTGAAAATTCTATCTTGTAGCAATTAGAAACACTGAATAATGGCAAAACATTAGTAAATAGTGAAATAGATATAATGAATTCAGCGGCTTGTATTGATTATTGTATGTACTTATTTTCACATACGTTCTGTGAATTTAACTGCATATGTATGAAGATGCTGGATGGGCAGACAAATTTACTGGTGAGACGATTCCATCAACACCAGATCTATTTATTTATACACGCCACGAGCCAGTTGGTGTTTGTGGACAAATTATTCCATGGTAATCACACCACAGTATCACCTTCTATAATATCTCGCCTATTATTTATTTTAGGAACTATCCGGTAGACTTCTAGAATTAGTGTAACCGAAGTTTTCAGCATCTTTCAATTTAGGTATTAATGATGGCTTTGAAACTAGGTCCAGCTTTAGCTTGTGGTATGTCAATACAACTCCGTATTTTTCTTTACTTATATTCATTATCTTCTGTATCTTTGTATGAATAGGTAATGTGGTTATCTTGAAGCCAGCAGAAGAAACACCACTTACAGCTTTATACTGCGCTGCTCTGATCAAAGAAGTATTCTTTAAAGTCATCATTTTCATTAATCTATATCTTATTATGATAGGCTGGATTTCCACCAGGTGTTGTTAATATTGTACCGGGTGATGGACCGAATTGTGGACACGCCATTGTCATTCATGAACGCATCGATAAAGTGGCATTTACAGGTTCTGTTGAAGTAAGTTATTTATACTGTTTTGGTCGAATGAACTAACTGTTCAACATATTTTTCGTTATATAGGTCGGCAAAAAGATTCAAGAAAATGCTGCCAAATCCAACTTAAAACGAGTCACACTGGAACTCGGTAAGTTTAGTCAAAACCTATTCTCTATAATTGTTATTGCCTTATTAAAAAAACAGGTGGAAAATCGCCTTTGATCATCTGTGAGGATGCTGACCGTAAGTGCATGATTTTGTTCCAGTTGAGTTCCTCGTCATCGAAAGATATTTGTAGTCGATTTCGCTGTTTTTGTTGCACACGAAGCTATCTTCCATAATGCAGCACAAAACTGTATCGCTGCATCACGTACATTTGTACATTCGAAAATCTATGATCAATTTATCGAAAAGAGTGTGGCACTAGCCAAAATGCGAGTGGTTGGTGATCCATTCGATGATAATACTCAGCAAGGTCCTCAAGTAAATCGACACAGGCGAGTTTAGTAATTAATTAGAACGATCGATTGCATAGATTAGTAAACAGCAATTCGACAGAATTTTGAAATATATCGAATCGGGTAAGAAAGCTGGTGCAAAACTAGAATGTGGTGGTACAAAAGCCAACGATCAAGGATATTTTATCCAACCAGCAGTGTTCAGTGGTGTCACGGATGATATGGAAATTGCTCGTGATGAGGTTTCCTTCTTTTGATTCTCGTGTCTACGAATCTGTTCACAGATACTACAAATTTTAGATTTTTGGACCAGTCATGTCTGTACTCAAGTTTGACTCATACGATGAAGTGATTGAACGAGCTAATGCGACTCCCTTTGGTCTAGTTGCTGGTGTCATTACAAAAGATTGTAAATTATACATGATTTAGCATGTAAACAACTTTTGATTCTCTATTGTAGTGACACGTGCTCTCAAGTTTGTTCAAGAATTGCAAGCTGGTTCTGTTTGGGTGAATACGTACGGTGCAATGAAATTCCAAGCACCATTCGGTGGTTTTAAACAATCAGGTCAGGGTCGAGAACTTGGTAAATACGGTCTTGAGCCTTATTATGAAGTGAAAACAGTGGCCATGAAGCTTTTATCAAAAATGTGAAGATTTGTTTTTCTGTGGGAAATAAACGATGAATAATGTGACAATAATTGTCGATGATGCATACACCTGCATTGATGATTCACTTTTCTTGTTTAGTGTCTCGAATTTCTTTTGCATAAAGTATCAAGTAAAAGACTTTTTATCTTGAATAAATAGGCCATATTTATAACTACTTGTTCGTTGCTTTTTTTGAGATACATTTTTTTTGCTCTACTATAATCGTAGATTCCTTTTTTGCGTGCCGACCATGGCGTGGATTCCTCGTGGCCTCAATAACCTTGTTGATCAAGTTAGAAAGAAAACAACTCATTATAAAACTAAACGCACATACTTTTAATTCTGTTTTCTAGACACCGCTCGCTGAAAAATCAGCTGGCAATAGCAAGACCTCGTCAGACGCTGCTGTAAGTACCGAAAAATCAGTCATACGCAACGATGCTATCATTTTCTCTTCTGAATAGAGTCCTGATAAGACGGTGACGAATGGTATCATGGGTCTTACTGCATCTGCTTCGAGTTCAAAACCCAAAGGTAATATTTGTCCACGTTGTAACAAACCTGTTTATTTCGCTGAGGAAGTCAAAGCGGTTGGACAAGTAAATAATTCTAATAAGAAATTCAAGTCCATTCTGATACTTTATTTAGTCTTTTCATAAATTATGCTATCGATGTACTCATTGCAAAAAAAGTATCAACGGTGCAAATTTTTCTGAACACGATGGCAATCTTTACGATAACAGTAAAAATGAAATATCTTCCATTACAGATATCTCTACTTGTTCTTCGATTGTTTTAGATTGTTATCAGCGTTTGTTTGGTCCTAAAGGTGTTGGTTTCGGAATCGGTGCAGGTGCTCTATCAACAGGCAACTAGTTTACTGATCTATCACAACACATTTTATAATGTTTCGAATATGTTCTTTCCAAATAAAATACTTTCAAACTACAAACATAGAAAGATAAAGAGAATCATGCTTCATTCTGAATTTGTTGAAGATTTTAGTTCAGTCGTCGAGCCAATATTCGTACGTGGACCTTTGAACCAAAATCGTGCCGAGAATATATGCACCAGCGATGAGATCATCAACACGGATCCAAATCCGACTGAGGCATAATTCATGTTCTTTGCCGTCACTGGNTTCTTTCCAAATAAAATACTTTCAAACTACAAACATAGAAAGATAAAGAGAATCATGCTTCATTCTGAATTTGTTGAAGATTTTAGTTCAGTCGTCGAGCCAATATTCGTACGTGGACCTTTGAACCAAAATCGTGCCGAGAATATATGCACCAGCGATGAGATCATCAACACGGATCCAAATCCGACTGAGGCATAATTCATGTTCTTTGCCGTCACTGGATATTCCGTTGGTAAAACGAAAAGAACAACTATTAAACATATCCACAGGAGAGCGATAACATTGATAAAGGATGAGAATCGACCAAGATGAAATGGACCATGAGGAAATGGTATAGAAGAGAAAAGTTTACAAAGTATTGGTAAGCCATAGGCAACGTACAGACATATAGTGCAAAGACTAGTCACCGCGGAATATGCTGTTGAATTGATCAAATATGGAAGACCAAGAATAAAGCCGATTGTGCAAGAGAGCCAAACACCGTTCAGTGGACACGAAAATCGAGAATGTACCTTTTGCCAAAAATGACTCCATGGCTACAAATAGATAGAAGACGTTCTAAATCACGAAGAAGAACTATTTTAACTTACGAGGGCATTATCCCGACTAAACGCATAGATCATACGAGAATTTGATGTAACGGTCACAAGACCACAAAACCAACAGGCCATTAAAAGAGTGAACATTAGAACTAATGTCCATACTCGACCAAAGTTATCCAGTAGAATTTGTGTCACTGCAAATCCTGTTTCACTTTTGACTGTAAGTTCATAATTGTGCACGCCTGTAAGAAGTGAAACTAAGAAGATCCAGCCTAAGAACGATGATCCAACTAGAGCAGCAACCATTCCCCACGGACCAGCAACATCCGCCCCTTTGGTTTCTTCGCTCATGTGAGCAGCCGAATCATAACCAGCTAAACAGAACTGAGCTTGTAAAAGACCAATCAATGCAACATAGACCTTTGCAAATAGATGAAATAAAATTTATGTTTGATGATCTTCAAAAGGGCTGCTTTTGACGTACCGAACTGGTCCATCCTGTACGGTTAACGAATGTTGAAAAGACAAATTTTGCCGTATGATTTTCACCCTTTCCGCCAAACAGAACGGTAATGGCTACAATGACCGGTGCAAGCGATTGCCACCAAGTTGAAATATANGACCAATCAATGCAACATAGACCTTTGCAAATAGATGAAATAAAATTTATGTTTGATGATCTTCAAAAGGGCTGCTTTTGACGTACCGAACTAGTCCATCCTGTACGGTTAACGAATGTTGAAAAGACAAATTTTGCCGTATGATTTTCACCCTTTCCGCCAAACAGAACGGTAATGGCTACAATGACCGGTGCAAGCGATTGCCACCAAGTTGAAATATACGTGATCCACAATAGTACACGGCGACCAAGAGAGTTGCATATTCCATGGCTAACGATGAGACCCAAATGAATCAAGACAATATGCCATGGTTGTGGTGTCCAATCGCCGACGCCAATAGAAATAACGCTTCCAACAAGCATTGCAAGACCAAAATCAACAGATGTCACTCCAGCCAACTGTCCCATTAGATTGAACCAACCAGTAAACCAACTGACCATCGATCGATATTGTTGAGGAGCAAGATTAGCAGTCCAAAAGTAAAGACCACCAGCAGTTGGATAAGCTGAACAGATTTCGGCCATACTAAGACCAACACAAATGGTAAATAAAGACACAAGTATCCATCCCCAAACCATGACCATAGGACCACCAGTCATCATTCCATATGCAAACAAAGATGTCACACCCGAAGTAATACTCACAACTGATAATGTCATTCCATAATTCGTCAAACGAGTTAAACTTCGAGTTAATTCTTGTTTATATCCAAGGTTTTCTAAACGATTAGCATCGTCACTCATTTTTATCTCTCGAAAATGAATTGTGGACGTATTCTTTCTCTTTCTGTCAACAACTGTCAATCAGTCGAAACGCATTTACCATGTGTTAGTCAGAAAGATGAAGAACAAAAAGAGATGTATGACTTCGATTAACTTTTCTCTCTCTTTTACGACAATGACACTCTGTACTATCACCATATCGATAACATGACTTGAGGGTGATTTTAACACTTGAACAAATCATCGACATTTGATACGTTTCATCTCCAATGTCCTACAAACATTAAAATTTTCCTCTCGAAATCCATTCCTTATTCTTGATCAATTTACATAAAACAAATGAGGACAAAATCAAATATACAATTTAAATTCGCCATATTTTTCAAACATTTAACTTTTCTAACGATTAGTTTTGTTTCGAGCATCTTTATCAACATATTCATCGATACATATGTATGTGAATTGAATAAAAGAACGGAGGATATTCGAAAAACGCTGTGAACAGTTATGGAAAGTTTTATTTCGACGAGTTGATTGAATTTTTCATCGCTCGTCGAATCCCTTCGATTTCTCTCAGAATAATACTGCATTGTGGTCGATTAGCGAGCATTTTCGGAATTTGACCACCGGGATCCGCATATTGTAAATATGTGTAAGTAAAACCATTGTCTTGCTCAGCCCGTTCGATCAGATGGGCACCTTTGAAATGAGTTCGAACGAATTTACCGGTGGAATCTCGTGCTTCTGGTAGATCAACTGATCGGTAACTAAGAATGAAACCGTTGGGAAGATCACGGCGTACTTTGATATAACAAGTATCACGAGGAGCAATAAACATCGATGGCGATGCATATCTAAAGAGAAACAAGAAGAGATTATGTGCGCGTTCAAGGACATAGATTTCTTTTTTATACTGAAAATAACAAAATTCACTTCGATCATCATTTTTTCCAATAATTCGACCATCGATATAAAGTTCATGCCATTCGGGATGACGCTGTTTGAGATTAGCATCGAGTAAATCATCAATATTCTCTAATGAGCTATTATCTACATGAGCAACCAATTTAATCCACCAGATGGAATCGTTTGGTAGTTTATAAATATAACAAATATCATCTTTATGTTGTGCACCGTGTTTGTATTCTTTCCACACATCTGCATTTCGAATTAACGCTAAATCATCGTCCAAGTAACGCTCGAGCGTCGTTGCATCGTAGTTAACCGACATGTGACTCGCTTTCAAGGTTGCTTCTATTTTACCTCTCTTGTTTTCTTCCCGTTCGTTCTGTATGTTAATACACTTTTTCTTTTCTCAGCAAGTGCATTGGCTAGAACTTAATGATGGCAATGCGAAAATGTCTTGAGCTATATTTTTGTTGTTGAGTTATCAAAGATCATTGAATATTTCGCATGTTTAATCTATAGTTCTACTTAAATAATTGTACATGAGAATGATCTAATCTAACAAAGTATTTCGTGTTTAATGACTGAGAATAAAGATGAGAAATCGCTTGTTTCTGCTTCGATATCTACTGAAACGTGTTCGACAAGCAACAAATTTTGTCTTTTTTTAACATAAATAGTATAACGGTCAGATAAGAGTGAATATAATTAATTGCAACGAAACAACGTCATAGAATTATGTGATAATTATTATTTCTCGTCATAATTACATCTGAATCTGCTTTGAACGCTGTTTAGCATCAAAGTGCAATTAAATCAATGAAAAACACTCGTTTTGTCTTTTTATAAATCATCATCATTTTACCAAGACCATTTCATATATTCAGACAATCACGAAGCGCACTGCAGTGCATCTTTTCTCTCGAGAAAAAAAAGGAATGAGTTCTACAGCTAGTTCGACAAATTATACCATCATCGCGCCAATATCAATTCTATTCTCAACATCAGCTATCGTCATTTCTTGTTTCATTTTACTATTAGTTTCTTCAACGAAACCATTATACACTGTTAGGCATTTGCTAACATGCAATACATGTCTCGCGTCAATCTTCTATTGTATTGTTCAATGCAACAACTATATTTATCTTTTATTTATTCAATGGAATACAAGCAATGAATCATGTCGATGGCGTGNGACCAATCAATGCAACATAGACCTTTGCAAATAGATGAAATAAAATTTATGTTTGATGATCTTCAAAAGGGCTGCTTTTGACGTACCGAACTGGTCCATCCTGTACGGTTAACGAATGTTGAAAAGACAAATTTTGCCGTATGATTTTCACCCTTTCCGCCAAACAGAACGGTAATGGCTACAATGACCGGTGCAAGCGATTGCCACCAAGTTGAAATATATGTGATCCACAATAGTACACGGCGACCAAGAGAGTTGCATATTCCATGACTAACGATGAGACCCAAATGAATCAAGACAATATGCCATGGTTGTGGTGTCCAATTGCCGATGCCAATAGAAATAACGCTTCCAACAAGCATTGCAAGACCAAAATCAACAGATGTCACTCCAGCAAATTGTCCCATTAGATTGAACCAACCAGTAAACCAACTAACCATCGATCGATATTGTTGAGGAGCAAGATTAGCAGTCCAAAAGTAAAGACCACCAGCAGTTGGATAAGCTGAACAGATTTCTGCCATACTAAGACCAACACAAATGGTAAATAAAGACACAAGTATCCATCCCCAAACCATGACCATAGGACCACCAGTCATCATTCCATATGCAAACAGAGATGTCACACCCGAAGTAATACTCACAACTGATAATGTCATTCCATAATTCGTCAAACGAGTTAAACTTCGAGTTAATTCTTGTTTATATCCAAGGTTTTCTAAACGATTAGCATCGTCGCTCATTTTTATCTCTCGAAAATGAATTGTGTACGTATTCTTTCTCTTTCTGTCATCAACTATCAATCAGTCGAAACATATTACCATGTGTTAGTCGAAAAGAAGAAGAACAAAAAGAGATGTATGACTTCGATTAACTTTTCTCTCTCTTTTTCGAAAATGACACTCTGTACTATCACCATATCGATAGCATGACGAAGTGTTACATTCATGTATGAGCAGAATTGACAACCAAGGACGACACGATAACTTTTTCGTCTTGGAGATTGTACGAGTGATTTTAACATTTGAACAAATCATCGACATTTGGTACGTTTCATCTCCTATGTCCCACAAACATTAAAATTTTCCTCTCAAAATCTATTCCTTATTCTTGATCAATTTTCATAAAACAAATAATAGGACAAAATCAAATATACAATTTAAATTCGTCATATTTTTCGAACATTTAATTTTTCTAACGATTAGTTTTGTTTCGAGCATCTTTATCAACATATTCATCGATACATATGTATGTGAATTGAATAAAAGAACGGAGGATACTCGAAAAACGCTGTGAACAGTTATGGAAAGTTTGATTTCGACGAGTTGACTGAATTTTTCATCGCTCGTCGAATCCCTTCGATTTCTCGCAGAATAATATTGCATTGTGGTCGATTAGCGAGCATTTTTGGAATTTGACCACCGGGATCCGCATATTGTAAATATGTGTAAGTAAAACCATTGTCCTGCTCAGCTCGTTCGATCAAATGTGCACCTTTGAAATGAGTTCGAACGAATTTACCAGTGGAATCTCGTGCTTCTGGTAGATCTACTGATCGGTAACTAAGAATGAAACCATTGGGAAGGTCACGGCGTACTTTGATATAACACGTATCACGAGGAGCAATAAACATCGATGGTGATGCATATCTAAAGAAAAACAAGAAAAGATTGCGTGTGTTCAAGGACATTTATTTCTTTTTCATACTGAAAATAACAAAATTCACTTCGATCGTCATTCTTTCGAATGATTCGACCATCGATATAAAGCTCATGCCATTCGGGATGACGTTGTTTGAGATTAGCATCAAGTAAATCATCAATATTCCCTAACGAGCTATTATCCACATGAGCAACCAATTTAATCCACCAGATAGAATCGTTTGGTGCTTTATAAATATAACAAATATCATCTTTATGTTGTGTACCACGTTTGTATTCTCTCCACACATCTGCATTTCGAATTAACGCTAAATCATCATCCAAGTAACGCTCGAGCGTCGTTGCATCGTAGTTAACCGACATGTGACTCGCTTTCAAGGTTGCTTCTATTTTACCTCCTATTCTTTTTTTTTCCGTTCGTTTTGTGTGTTAAAGTGCTCCTTCTATTCTCAGCAAGTGCATTGGTTAGAAGTTAATGATGACAATCGAAAATTTCTTGAGCTACTTTTGTTGTTGAGTTATCAAAGCTCGTTAAAATTCGCTAACGTATTCTTAGTTGAGATTGATATCGCCGAAAAGATCATTGAATATTTCGAATGTTGGATCTAGTTCTACTTAGATAATTGTACTTGAGAGTGATCGAATCTAACAAAGTATTTCGTGTTTTATGACTGTGAACTAAGAAAAGAAACCACTTGTTTCGTCTTCGATATCTAGTGAAATGTGTTCAACAAGCAACAAATTTTGTTCTTTTTGACATAAATAGTCTAAAGATCAGATAAGAGAAAATATAATTATTTGCAACGAAACAACGTCATAGAATTATGTGATAATTATTATTTCTCGTCATAATTACATCTGAATCTCCTTTGAACGCTGTTTAACATCAAAGTGCAATGAAATCAATGAAAAACACTTCTTTTGTCTTTTTATAAATCATCATGAATTATTTTACCAAGACCATCTCATAGATTGAGAAAAACACGAAGCACTGCAGTGCATCTTTCCTCTCCAGATGAAAAAAAAAGAAAAGGAATGAGCTCTACAGCTAGTTCGACAAATTATACCATTATCGCGCCAATATCAATTCTATTCTCAACATTAGCTATCGTCATCTCTTGTTTCGTTTTACTATTAGTTTCTTCAACAAAACAATTATACACTGTTAGACATTTGCTAACATGCAATACATGTCTCGCGTCAATCTTCTATTGTATTGTTCAATGCAACAACTATATTTATCTTTTATTTATTCAATGGAATACAAGCAATGAATCATGTCGATGGCGTGGATATTTTGGATACGTATCAATGGCTGCAGTTATCTATTCCTACCTTCTACAATCAATCGCACGATTATTTGTCACTTTTTATTCGATGAAATATCGATGGATCATCTCCTTTAAAATACACGTACCACTTATTTTTATTGGATGGATTATTGTATTCATTGTTCCATTACCAGCAGTCATAACTAAGGATATTTCATTTCGTGTGGGTTTTCTTTGTTGGGTACCCAGACAATTTCTTTTACATGCAATTTACACGGTGATTATGTATTATTTAATACCAATTCTGATCATTATTTTCATTTATGTATTGATTTATATTCGTGTTCATTCTTTCGTAGCTAACAATGCAATTGTGCAAGATCAGAGAGGACGAAGCAATCGCGAACTTGAAGTGCTTCGTAAAATAGTGATTCTATTTAGTATTTATATTCTTGGCCCATTACCATTGATACTTTATATGTTAACAAATGTGGAATTGTTTTATTCGATTGGAATTGTTAGTATTTCATTTGCAGTTATGGTGGAAAAACTAGTCTCATTGCTAATCGATCGTGATATTCGAAATGCTGCGATGAGATTTTTTGGTTATCGCACAAATCAAGTTCTACCGATTGCAATTAACATCATCACTCCTGGAAAAAAGAATTCTCAATCGTAGTTTCTTAGTTATTGAACATACTGATTCCGTAGAACGACTTTCATATAAATGAATATTGTATACTCAATATCGATTCGTTTTTTTTTGTCTTTTCATCAGGTCTATTTATAAAATAAAGGAAAATATAGAATGTCGGTCATGTTCAAACAAGTTAGTTATACATTTGATTCACTCAGAAACTGCTCCGCATATAGACAAAATGAGCAATGGCAAATTTAAGTCCAACACGGTGAGAAGGGTGAATAATCGATGGACTATCTTCATCTTTTTACTTATGATGATCATAAAGCTTCAAATAAGTAAGCAACGGAAGCGAACGTGATCTTCGAGCAAGGAAATTACGCTTGAATGAATAATACGTTTGACCTCGCTAAATAAAATAGTTTGAAAAAAGACATGATTTATCGTTCATAATCGTACGTCTTCATTTTCAACCGTCTGAATACAGCTGATTTGTTGGTGAATTTATCACATTATAGTTCTTTTATGATTAGAAGAATAGTTTATTTAAAATTATGTGAACACTTCCATAAGAAGGTTGGTCGGTGAACAAATTTTCAAAATATAGGTCAATAAGAATTGGAAAGAGAAAAAAAAATGTCTAGTAAAGTTTTGATGTCGATCTTTGTTTTGAGAAACAATAGGTAGAGTAAATGAACTTGTTAACAATGTAATTGGATAGCAACATCGTTAAAACCAGAATTAAGAACAATAAGATCTAATTTCTCATCATTGTTCAGATCGGCGACTGATACCCACGCTGGGCTAGTACGAGTTGAATATGTTGTTTTATTTGGAAAAACAGCATTGCCTGCATTGATGTAGATAACAATATTGTCTGAAGCACTATTGGTGACAATAATATCCATTAGATTATCGTTGTTCATATCTCCAACGGCTACTACCACTGGATCGTTACCGCATGAATAAGTAGTTTGAGCCGAAAAACTTCCGCCGCCTGTGTTTATGAGAACTCCGATATTGTCGGATCCATAATTCGCAACTACGATATCAAGCTGGTCGTCTTGATTAAAATCAGCAACTGCTATTGCTTGTGGAGTGGATCCAGTTGCAAAAGTCATTTGATTAAGAAATGTTCCATTACCTGCATTGAGAAGGAGACCGATGGTATTCGAACCTGAATTTACAACTAAGATGTCTGAATAGGAATCGCTATTTATGTCAACAACGACTATCGATGTTGGGCCAGAACCCGTTGAGTATAAAACTTGACCATGCAGTATACCATTTCCTGTATTCATAAAGACACCGACAGTATTGTCACCGAAATTTGACACAACTACATCAGACAGATTATCGTTATTCACATCGGCGACTGCTACTGACGATGGCATAGAACCAGTTGAGTATACTGTTTGATTCGGAAAGAATCCATTAGCTGCATTGAAAAGAACACTTATTGTTGCTGCTTGCATATTCGCCACAATAATATCAGATCGATTATCTTTGTTTAGATCAGCAATGGCTGCCGCTGCGGTACTAGAGCCAGCCGTGTAGTTTACATTTGGAAGAAAACTACCGTTACCAGCATTTATCAAAACACTGATGCTACTAGTTCCGAAATTTGTAATAACAAGATCCGATTCCATATCACCATTAAGATCACCAACTGTTACTGACAACGGAGAAGCTCCAGTTGCATAAACACTTTGATTATTAAACATACTAGTGCAAACTAATAAATATATCAATTTTATTCTTAGTCAGACATGTTCAGTTTGATCACTTACCGATAGGTGCTGGTCTATTACTCAGTACAAGAAGGGTCGTAACACCTGTTTGTGCAAGCAAGTTTCCGCGTTCATTGGGACTATCACGGAATAATTGACAAGCATGACTTGATTCGTCAAATGTCAATGTTCGGCAAGTGGTATCAACCAAACAGGCAACTTCACAATGTCGCAAATCAGATACCGAAACTGTTGTCGATAGTGAACAAGTTGAATCATTGCATTGATAATTCTCATTGTTTATCACAGAGAAATATATTGAATTGATAGTAGCTGCTGCCGACTGTGTAATGAGTATTAGTAGAAATAAAAGAATCATAGTGAACTGTGATTTTGTTTTTCTAGAATGAAGAAAAGATAAACTTCTTGTTTGACAAATTACAGATACTTTGAAATGTATACAAGTTTCTCGAAAGTTACCTACTTTTGAATACCATTATGACATTCTGTTTTCTTTTCTTTTTATACATGATGAAACCGATTAGTTTTCTCTTCCGTCGAGAGTATTGGTAACTATATCATTCTCTAACAAATACAGAACACTTATAACGTGATGATATGAGTTTTTAATTCAACTGTAATATCCGTCAAAAGTAATCAACGACTTTCTTCGTTATGTGTACGCTTTCATTTCCTATAACATTTCAAAAAGATCTACATCATCATACTAATGATTTCTCAGTACAAAATAAAACTCATTAGAGATATTGCGTTCTATTTGTATTTCTTCACCTATTATTCTATTCTTATACTATATATTCAATTTCCACAAAGTGTCTCCAACAATTCTCACTGAATTATTCCTGCAATACAATTTCTTGTTGCACTGTGGACTGATTTACTAGCTTGTTTTTTTTCAGACGAAAATAATATTGAGAAAAAACGTCAATGTCGCTAGAAAAAGACATTTGGTAAATCACTACAAAATGTTTTCATTCGAAGACGGCCTCTCAGAAGCTAGTAAATATGTACCAACATATGTAATATGTAGCAGACAATGTATTCACAATAAATAATGGTAAACGAAATTCAATTGGGAGAAAAATCACTAATGAATAATCCACAATCAATATCACGAATAGAATGTATGTTCATTCAATGGTCAAGTTTCGGGAATACGAGCTAGTAGATTGTATTACCAATGGCTAAGTGTGATTAACATTCAAATAGCAATGAAAATATTGACTGAACCAATGATAAAAGAGATCACTGTTCACCGATCGTATATTCTTCGGAAAAATCTATTTGGATGAGTCATTGATAACAACTATAAAGTTTGGTCATTCAGTGAATGTTTGCTCATAGCATCTCATTCTAGTAAATCGTAAGAGAATAAATGCTTAGTTATCAAATGTGATAAAAATGTTATTTTATTCATTTCAGCACCATGCTGGAAGACTTGAATATCAATAATCAAACAAAAAAGAACGACAAAATGTAAAATAACCAGGCAATAGTCAAGAAGAATTAAGTTTACTCGTTGTTTTCTTTCCATACAGTCAAGCATTGCTCATATTACAATGAAAACGCTCGAGCTTCGATGTTTGGTGCTCACGTTCAATTTAATAACACTACCGTAGATAATACTCAGAACTCGGTGGATTCGATCTTTAAAGCGGGTAATTGATATGTTATATTGACTATAAAGCATGTTCCTAAAACACGTTGATTTCCTTTGAAATAATATGTAACGTACGTCAGATAGCTATGTGCTGAAAATAAGGTTACATCGTATAATGCTAGCTATGTTTTGCCTACACAAAGGAAGTCATGAAATCATGCTCCAGAAAAAGAGAAAACATAAATGATAAATAGACATGGCAAACGATTATTTTAACGACATTGTCTGTGCTATATCTTTTGGAAAATAAATCGTTCATAGATCACTTTTTTGGATTAATCATGATTCTAGAAATCTGCGTATTATTATCGATCGCATGGACGACGGTACAAACAACAAGTAAGTTATCATTGACAATCACGAATAAGATCCGATCATCTTATACTACTTTGATGATCATTTAGCTGTATCTTATAACCTGCCAAAATTCTGTTCAAGAGCATTGTGGAATGCGAATGCAACGACTTTTGCAACTGAAAACAAAATTGGCAAAGATCCACACAGCATTTTTGTTGATAAAAATAACAATATCTATGTTCCTAATCGAAGTTCAAATAAAATTGTATTATGGCATAATAATGGTAAAACAGAATATAAAACTATTGCTGGAAACTTAGTCTCTCCACAAAGTGTTTTCGTGACATTATCTGGTGACATGTATGTCGCTAACGTTCAGAGCAGTTGGATAACGAAATTCACACTCAATGAAACACGTAGTACGTTGACTATAAATAAAATGGGTAATTGTCTTTGTGTCTTCGTTGACGTGAACAGTACTATTTACTATTCATTTTGGGAAGTGCATAAAATTTTTAAACAGCCAGTGAGTGGTACTACAGTTGGAGAAACGACTGCGGCAGGTAATGGTAGTGCGGGAAAAGCCAACAATCAACTAAATCAACCTTTCGGACTTTTTGTGGACGTCGATTTGGGTTTATACGTGGCCGATTTTAAAAATAATAGAATTCAGCATTTTCGCTCCGGTCAAGTAAATGGAACAACAGTCGTAGGAGACGAAGTGTCCTTCTCAGCTAAATTAAATCATCCAACAGGAGTCGTGCTGGACGGTGAAAAAAACTTATTTATTGTCGATTGTTATAATCATCGCATTGTTCGATTGATATCGAGCGATCTACGTTGTGTGGCTGGGTGTTCTCAATCATCAGGATCTGACCTCAGCAGATTAAATGAACCTATAAGTCTTAGTTTTGACAGTTACGGAAACATCTATGTGGCAGATAAGTTTAACAATCGAATTCAAAAGTTTGTTTTCATAACAAATTCATGTAGTAAGTAATTGCACAGATGTTGGCAGTAGAGCTTTACCTCCACCAATGAGTACATCCTCTATGATCTGTATAAAACTCACCATTTTTGAGTATATAAAGACTTCCATGAAATGCTAAATTTCATTCTTAACTGTAGCTAATCGAAGGAGTAGTTTACAACAAGAGTAAAACTTGAAATTATACATATTTTCTTCATCGTTCTCCTCAATCTTCTACATATTTTGCAGACGAAACAACAACGACATCGCTACCACCATTGACGGCGTCAAGTGAAAATAGAGGTTATTCATTGTTTTCCTTCTGTAACAAATTTACACAGCATTGATATCCTTTTTCAAATAGCCACAATAAGCAAGAATCTAATCCAATCGATGCCTATATCAACAGCTATTGATATTACTACAGCACACAGAGAAAGTAAATAATATTTAACTTTCCATTTGATTATCGAAATATATTCTATCAATTTAATTCACATTATCTTTGTCTACAATAGATCTCATCGCCACTACGTCACCCATCTTAAGAAACAATAAACCATCCAGCAGGATTCCACCGATCGGTACTACAACGGTAGTTGACATTGCCACTACAGAAGTCAAAAGAAGTACTACCACAAGCGGTACTACTGCGATCCAGTCTTTTGTCGCTCCTAATTGCTATAATTATACTTCTACTGGTGTTCTTTGCAGCCAACTTGAATCGATATGCAAACTAGCAAGTCCATGTCACAATAATGGCAGCTGTACTTTAAATAGCAGTGCGTCAAGAGGATATTCTTGTTCGTGTTTGCCTTATTTTAACGGTACCTTATGTCAATATGACCACCGACCATGTAAACCGAACACATGCTGGAACAATGGTAATATAAATAGTTCTGTTTCAAGAATTGTATCAGTATCAATTCTGTGCATTTTCCAGGCACTTGTGTTCCAGATAAGTCAAATACGACTTTCGAATGTCGATGTGCGGTTGGATGGGATGGTAAACATTGTGAAACAAAAATAAACTATTGTTGGAACGCCACTTGCTTGAATAAAGGTGTTTGTTTCCCGTTATTCATGAATTATAAATGCGAATGCGTAGGAGATTATTCTGGTCGTCATTGTGAAATATCTAGCCGAAGGATGATAATTCATAAAATCATTTCAAAAACAGTTTCGTATGTGGCGATTCTTGTTTTGATCGTCACTGTCATGTTTTTCATCATCATGGACATATTAAAATATTGCTTTGGAATTGACCCGATTCACGAAGAACGAGAACGATTGCGACGAGAAAAACGAATGAAGAAACACAAACCCATCATTCAACGTCCTGTTTATGTCAATCCACCGCCCGTTGTTATCATTCAGGAAACAACTCTCTAGAATAATCTTACTTTTTGTATGTTTAGTGGATGCTAAGAAAGGTGACCTGTCTTTTTCATTAGAATTCGTGAGGTAGATGGGCGTTGTCACGGCATGACAACATGCGAAGAATCATCACATTCCATCTTTATCTGCTTTGAACTTGATTTTCTCTTCATTTTGTATCGAATATTTATCAGATGTCTTTTGATATGGTAGAAAATGACTTGTTTTGATACATTCATATCAATCTATAATCGATTTTACACTTGAAAACGTATGTGATCTTTTCTCATTAAAGTTTTCATTCGCCACACTTTTCATCTCCTAGGTCAAATATATATAAGCACAAGAATTTTCATCGAAATCACTCATTTTTATCTTTCTCGCCCTTTTTTTCATTTCTTCGTCGATCAGAAAGCAAGATCCAATGGCTTTTCACGTATCATATAATATGTATCCATACCAAATGCAATACTATGAACCTTACAGTTATTCTTCATATTATGGTTTACCATCAGCGATGACAACTGGTAAGGAAAACCAAATTGAAAACATTTCTTGTCAATGCAATTGTTCGTTTTAGAAATGTTGTCGTATCCTGATGAAAAACCGAAAGCGCAGAAGAAAGAAACAACGCCAAATACGCTCTTGACTTCCTTAGGCCGTTCTACGAAAAACTTTCGGACTGATTCCCATTCAAATAGTTCATTCGCGTCTGTTGAATTCACAACGTCAGATAACGGCAAATGTCAGAAACTCTTACGAAAATGCAAGAAGATTTTGAAAATTAAATCTAGTAAAAAATGAACTTTAGATTTTCTTCTGAAGAATTCACGGCAAATCTAATTTGCTCATTGTTTTTATTCTGTAATAAATTCAGAATTGGTGTCATATAATCATTCGTAATCGGCAGGATGCAAGCAACATATCTGACTTAACAAATGTTTTGAAAATATGGTGATTGGTATTCATTAGCCGTAGACGATGTGTGAGATTGAAATTGTCGTGATAAAAACAAGTTGAATATCTGTTAACATGATCAGAATACCCGCTGAATATTGAAGTTCACGACGCTACTGCTTTTGCTCAATGTACTTTTATCTTGTTGGCACGTCAGAGAGAAAGGCATCGCTTTTATCAATTCCATTTTTCTCTTACACCTGAGACGAAAGGTCCGAGAATAAAGTCCATTAATTTTGATAAAAAAAATGAAAAAACAAGTGGGAGAAAGAAATGATTCTATGTTTGTAATGGTTGGTCATTATGATAACATGTGTGTCCGTGAAATTACGAAAAGAAATTAGAAAAGAAACATAGAGAAAGAATGACATAGACTCTGTCAACTTGTTTTTGATGATTAAATTTAAAAATCTAAGAAAAAAAAACAGAACAACAGTATGACGGTTGTCCGTGTTGATGGTAAACGAAGAAGGCTGTTCTATCATTTCGTATCAGATATTATACCATTTTCGAATATTGTACGTTTCAAAGTCCAATAATAGAAATAGAATATATACGCAAAATGCAATTATAATGTATTTCAACATATATAGAGAAAATTTGATTGTTTTTTTTACATGTAAGACCATTACAATAATTTGAATGTAATGGTGAAATAAAAATATGTCCAATAGATTGACTTTTGCATAGTGCAATGATGAATATTTTTGTCTCTAGATGACAACAGATCCGTCAAATCCGAGTCCACTTCTCAATGCAAGAATATGGTCACGTCTTTTTTTCAAGTATACCTTTGTTTTATGTTTTGTCGAAATTGGAGTTGAATTTTTCGAAAAAATTCTTTCAGTTGGTTATCTCCGCTTCTAAAGCAAGGTAGACTTAGTCAAGATGATCTCTATGAACTTCCTAATAAATACAACTCGTTGAAACTCACTGAAGAACTCGAAGGAAACTGGCTTGATGAAGTCAAAGATCCAGCACGCAGTCCGAGTCTTCTTCGAGCAACCGTACGAACCATACGACGGAGAGTATTACTTATCAGTTTACTGATGATTCCACAGGTTAATTGACTCGGAAATTTTCTCATTCCTGACGAAAGTTTTTAGACTTTAGTAACTATTGGTCAACCATTAATAATCGTGTTGTTAATGGATTTCCTCGATCCATGTACGACAATGAGTGCATCTACTGCTTGGATTCTAGTCATTGTAAGTATTTTGGTTATTTGGATTCCATGTGTTTTCTACCATCAAGTAAATATTTATGCTGCTAGCTGCACAAAAAAAAACTGATTTCTTGTAGCATTCTGCTAGAGTGAGATGTTTCTGTATGCAAATGCGTACTGCTTTCGATGATCTGATTTTTCGTAAGGTAAGTACTACGCATATACATTAATGGTTTAGTAACTAGATAGTGTGTGTGAACAGATGCTTCGATTATCGAATGATTCAATGAATAGAATCGGTGTTGATGGTATCGATAGTTTGGTAGCAAATGATGCTCCTCAGATTGAGTCAGCGTTAATCTATCTCGACTATCTATGGGTACGTGATGTACGACATTGAGTATGCACTAATCAAACGAACTATATCATGCATATTTAGCGTGGCCCATTCGAAATTATACTTATCATCGGATTTTTCTCATACTTTGTTAAATATATTTCATTGATTGCATTGGGTTACACGATTATTGTTTTACTACTTCAATTATTGATCAGTCGGATCCTGATTAGACTCAAAAGTAAACTTTTTCAAATCACGAACGAACGCGTGAAGATACTATCGGAAATTGTCAAATCAATTCGAGTTGTTAAAATGTATTGTTGGGAATCAGCTTTTATACAAAAAGTTCTTTCATTAAGAAAGTAAGATTTCCTTCCAAACACATATCAGATTGTATCAATCATTTTATTCTATTAGGAATGAATTAATTCGTTATGTGCATTGTGCTGCAATGAATTCTATCATACAGACATTAAAGTACACGTACACTTCTGTAACATTTCTCTTAATGTACTTAACCATGTGGTTTCTTGATATGTCGTTGGATACTCGTGTTTTTGCACTTTACTCTTGTTTGATTGGTTATCTACAGTATAGTGTGATGGATTTTTTGCTTCAAGCAATCAGAAATCTTATTGAGTACTTGGCTGCTCAAAAGCGAATCCAAGTAAGCGATATGGATAAAAAAAATAATAACATTAGGAGCATTCGTAGGCATTTTTATTGCTTGCGGAATGTAAACGTGATGAACGATCATTGTCTCAACCTGTATTAACAAAAGCGAAAGATCAGCAGGAGAATGTATCCAAAGATGATCCAAGTAAACTGTTGAAAATCAGCTGTAGTTTGAAATCAGCCAAATGGGACGAAGTAACATGTTAATTTTCATGAGATAATTTCGTGATGAGTCGGTTTTTATTTAGAATTCAACATTTGCATTGAAAAACATCGTATTTGAAGCTCATTCGGGAGATTTGATTTGTATAATTGGACCTAGTGGATCGGGCAAAGTTTGTTACTTTATCACAGATTGATTTGTTCTTATTGATAGAATGTAGTCTTCTCTTTTACGTGCTATTTCTGGTGAAATAACTCATTTCAGCGGTAAAATTCGAATGTGCGGCACGTGCTGCTATTTACCACAGGATTCTTGTGAGTATCTTTGTCGATAAAAATGGAAATCAGAGTAGAAAGTTGCATCTCTAGGGATATTTTCTGCTAATATTCATGAAAACATTCGTTTTGGTCAAGAGTATGATTATCTACTATTCAAACGTATCATTCATGCAGTAGCTCTCGATACGGTAAGAAGTTGATAGAGAAGAATAATTGTACACTTTCCTACAACTATAGGATTTAAGTCAACTACCGCATGAAGCTGAGACAATAGTAGGGGATCAAGGTGTGATGTTATCTGAAGTAACTTGCCAATCTCACAAGATAATTTACGTATTCATTTTTCATTGGCAGAGCCAAAAAGCGCGTGTAAATTTAGCTCGTGCACTGTATCGGGATGCAGATATTTATCTATTGGATGATCCGATTTCACGTGTCGATACTAAACTATCAAAATGTCTCTTCGAAAGGTAAAACTTTATTGATAAAAATTCTTGACACATATCGACCATACTAGATCAGTCAAAGGCTTCTTACGTGATAAAATATGTATTCTTGTAACACATCAAGTACAAGTTCTCAAACACGCGAGGCAAATTATAGAACTTAGTAAAGTATAGAGAAGATCTTATGGTCGCTGGAAACTGCTTGCATCATGACTATGATTTTAGGGAGAGATAGTACGTATAGGAACATTTGGCGAGTTACTTGCTGGTTCATCTTCATTCTGTCGACAACTTGAGAATACTATTGAAGAAGAAAAGAGACATCGACAGTTATTTGGATTAGACAAACGATTTTCCATAGGTGATATTTCACTTGCCGATTTGAAAGCAGATGAGCAATCTTCGATATTATCAACGTCCTCTCTTCGACTGCCATCAGAAACTACAGAACAAAAGTCTGAACGAATAAACAGATGGCATGTTTACGTTGAATTTGTTAGAGCCGGTGTTGGTCTTATTCTGGGTTTCCTTCTATTTCTGTCGACGTACTGCTTACGGGAAGGAATTTTTGTTTATAATAATTGGTGGTTAGCAAAATGGACCGATGATGAAAACTATCGATATCGTGTCGACATTAATTGCACTAGCACAGCAGATGAACAAATTCTTCGAATAAAATCAATGACCAATTCCGAATGGAAAGATCAGCGAAACTACAGATTTCATATCTATACAGGTCAGTACAAAAGAGAGTTTGATTTTAACTCTGATTTTTGGGGAATTTAGCTCTTGTTTGTGCTCTATTTCTGGTGACATTGTGCCGAACGATAGCTACACAATTGATATGTTTGAACGCAAGTCGAGTTCTCCATAATCGGTAAGATACATTTTTCTAAATACATACATGTTTTATTTCTATTCGTCACAAATAGAATGCTTCGATGCATAATCTATTGTCCTATGAAAATCTTTGACACACATCCACTAGGTACGCTAAGCTCTATATATGAGTTTCGTATTAAAATTTATGTATTGTGTGCGGTAGATCGGATTCTAAATTGTTTCACAAAAGATATAACATTAATTGATGTCGTTCTTCCAGATATCATTCATGAATTTCTTCATGTAAGTGTATTTTGCATCGATTAAAAAATTGATTTCTATTCGAGCCCATTGAAGTTTGCATTCTATGTGTTGGGAACACTTGCACTTGTGGGTTGGATCAATCTTTGGTCATTGATTGCAGTAGGCCTAGCTATGACAGCCATGTTCTTTATTCGACGTCGAATTGCACGTTGTTTACGTGACTTACGATGTATCGAAGATACGACACGTGGTGCAATACACTCGTACTTAACGTCAAGTGGTCACGGAATCAAAACAATTCGATCTTTTCGTGTCGAAGATATGTGTTCAAATCTGTTTCGTCAACGCCTTGAGATGGACAACCGAGCAAATCATCTAATTATAAATATTAACCGCTGGGCTGGTCTTCGTTTGGACTGGATTGCTTGTAGCTTTTTTACATTAATTATTCTTTCTGCTATGACTGTTCGCGTTGTAGGAAGTCGACTTTCAGCTGCAGAGATTGCTCTCACTTTTTCCTGTGCTTTCAATTTAGTTAGTCTTCTTCAATGGGCTATCAGGTAGAATTATTTCCATCGACTACACTCAACTTTATGTCTTCTCGAAACAGATCATCTGTTGATTGCCAGACGCAAATGGTTGCAGTCGAACGCATATTAGATTATTGTTCATTAGAACGAGAGTCACCAAATGAAGTGCCACATGACCGTTGTCCACCAAAAGATTGTGCAGACAGCGGTGAAATTATTTTTGATAATGTTTCAATATCTCATCCAACGAGTGTCAACGCACCGTTGGTTCTTAAAAATATCACATTAAAAATCGAGGGAGGCGAGAAAATTGGAATTGTTGGTCGCACTGGAGCTGGAAAGTCATCTTTAGTCGAAGCATTATTTCATTTGCGCGAGTCAATCAGTGGTCACATTAAGATTGATGACATAGACATCGATACGATTAGTTTAATTGATGTTCGTCGTCGTTTAGCATTCATTCCACAAGATCCTGTACTGTTTGCCGGAACAATAAGAAGTAATCTCGATCGTTTCGATGAATATTCCGATGGGGAAATATGGCATGCATTAGAAGAGGTTAGACTGAAAAATTTAGTAGCAGAAAGCATGCCATTAGGCCTTCAATCAGAAGTGAGTAAAATTGGTTCGAGGTTGAATGTTAGTCAAAAACAACTGATATATCTTGCGAGAGCGATTCTGAAAAAGAATAAAATACTCGTTATGGATGAAGCAATTGACATGATCGATAACGAGTAAGTGAAAAACAGAGTGTCGTTTTTTCTTCGCATCATATATGATTAAATATTTTTATTAGGACAGACAAAATTATTCAACAAATCATTCATGAGAAATTTAAAAATTGTACTGTGCTAACTATTGCTCATCGTTTACAAACTGTTATTGGTTACGATCGAGTAATGGTAAGAGAATCAATGTGAAACATCCAATTGAATCGCATTTCTTCTCTTAGGTGCTTAATCACGGCGAATTACTTGAAATCGATGCTCCAAGCATCCTACTGAACAATCCGCATTCACATTTGTCGTCATTGGTTAATCAGTTAGGTGAAGTAGAATTTAAATATTTACAACAACTGGCAAATATTATCGCAAAACAGAATGATCAACTAGGCTCTCTAGTCACTTGGTTCTAACTATGACATTCAAGACATAATTTTCTATGTATATGCGTGTTAGAGTGTGTACTATGCTATTAACTTTCATCTACTCTTGATTGTTTATCATCGCTCAGAAAACGAGTTTTGTGCATTTGCCGTCGGTGCGAGCACTCAAAGTTGGATTTTTCACATTCTCCGACCCCCTTGTCTACACGTGTTAATGTTTTTTTCTCTCTCCTATATTGCAATATTTTTCGTTTTTTTCCTTCTTAATCATACTGTATCGTCACTAAATAGTTGAAAGGTGGAGTGGAGTGCTGCCAAACAGTTTTCCAACTAAAGTAACCGCGCACTTTTACTTCTATCTGTATAAATATATACGTGTATATATAATGCCAGATTTTTAACGAATTTAGGTGATATGTCGAAAAAGTTTTCATTGTCGCTGGTTACTTTACCCGTTGAATTAGCCTACCGCATTTTGGACCATCTCGATAATTTTTCAATACTTGTATCGGCACGTAATATCTGTACAAGATTGAATACAATTATTGATAGTTATTATCCGTACCAAGTAAAATTTAATCAGCGATTTCACAAAACTTTGTCATTTCTTGCAATTTCTATACAGACGTTTACTGAGTTGGACCTGAAATGGCAAAGTTTGAAACAAAAACTATTTGAAAGCCTACTGCGTTCGTTACAAACCAACACCGTAAGACAATGTTATCTATCAATGACCGCCCGCCTTTTTGACGTTCGACCATACGATTGTAGACAATCACAACGTTCGAGCTCGGTGGCCATCTACTTAATAATACAATCATTCAGGAGCTGGGTTACGTATTACAGAGAAATCAGGTTGGTTGCGTTTCATGACAACGTATACATAATGAATTTCAGTGTTTTATACTTATTCAAAAGGGGCTAACAAAACTAACTATATGTGGTGGAAATCGAATCGGTGCCGAAGCACTGCGATATCTAGCTGTTGGATTAAGCACTAACCGAGTGAGTTATTTAAAAGCTGACTTTATAAGTTATTTGCATTCCTATCGTCATTTGCAGACATTGACAGAATTAAATCTTGGAGAGAGCCAATTTGGCAGCGCCGGTGTAAGTCATCTTGCAAATGCCTTGGAAAAAAACACAGTTAGTACTTCTGAGCAATATAGTTATCAACTGTATTGCTACTATTTATTAGTGATTACAGAAACTCTCAATACTATGCCTTGCGTGGACGAATATCGGTGTCGAAGGAGCACGCTCTCTATCGAATCTTTTACGAAACAGTACTGTATGTAACGTTTGCTAACCGATCATCATGCCCTCATATGAATGGCTCATTCCATAGACGCTAACAACATTATTTATTGGAAGATGTGACATAGGAAATGAAGGTGCACGTGAGCTGGCTGAGGCGTTGACACGTAATACGGTAATTAAAGTTTTTTTTCCATATTGAATTGGATAGCCATTGTCACTATGATAACAAATATAGATGTTAACACAGTTGGATATAGGACGCAACGGGATCGATGCTCAGGGTGTCAAGTATTTGGCTGACGCATTAAGCCAAAACAAAGTAAGGTTTTGCCGTCAGACGTAATTACTCATCCATAATAAAATACATTATAGACGCTGAAAACGACAGATCTTGCACAGAATACGATTGGCGATGAAGGTGCAAGATATTTATCCAATGCATTGAATAATTCGGTCAGTCCGATAATCGTTCAATTTTCGATTATACTTTCAACATCGTTTTTTCAGGCACTGACAACATTGATCCTCTGGAATTGTCAAATTTCTGATGAAGGAATTCTATACATAGCCAGTGCACTACAATACAATTCGGTCAGTTTTGCTTTTCTAGGAAGTATTGTTTTTTTTGTATCATTTGTTTATTTCGTATAGACACTAACGATGTTACATTTGAATGAGAATCGAATAGGTAGTCGAGGTGCCCATCACATGGCTAGAGCTCTGCAGAAAAATTCTGTATACTAGAATTCTTATTTATCCATCGCATTTTTATTCAACGATACTTCGTAGACACTCACACTATTATATCTCGGCGCGAACCATATCGGTGACGAAGGTGCATTGTTTCTAGCAAATGGATTACAAAACAATACAGTAATTTTCACTTTATAATTACTCGTTGCTTTCATTATCGACATCTGTTGTTAAAGGCACTCTTAGAATTGTATGTTGAAAGAAATAACATTCATATGGAAGGCACACAATATTTCATTAATGCGCTAGAAACAAATATTGTAAGTGCGATTTAGCTCCACACTTTCGTTCTGTTTATTTTTATCTTTCACAACAGACACCCAGAAAACTAGTTCTCTCCACCAATTCAATGAGTCGTACGTGGACAGATGATCTATCGCACACACAAAAAACGATATCGTTACGAATTGAGATCTAACATCTTTAATAATAAAGAGCTACAATTGCGGCATGACTTGATTGATAATTATTTGTGGCGTACGCCTGAATCGATTTCGATGAATTCGAAATAAAACATAGGTCAATTGTCGGCGAAATCTCTCCGATACACACATATATATGTAGAATGAATTCTATGTAATTCGAAAACAAAAGAACTATTTATTCGAAGGAATACAATCGTACTTACAGCGTAATAGACATAGTAGAGAAGTTGAGTCGACGTAGAGCGTAATTGTGTTTGTGCATAAAGAAGTGGATCATCAATCGTTTTCATATTTAATGAAATCACATTAATAATTGTATACGGCATGATAGTAAAAACATTCACAAAAACTTGCCATAGGACCATATTTGTCAGTTGTTTGTCTAATTCTCTTCGAACAAGTGGTATTATATAATTAGGTATTTGTCGCGTGTTGTAATACGCTGACAAACCGCATAAAATAGTAATGGTAAGCGGCAATACACCGAACAGAGTGAGAACGATGACATAGATACGATATTGCAGAAAAATCGGATCTGTCATCGAACAGCTCATCTTGTGTGTAATAGGTGATAAAATATGCTTTAAATATATTAGATATGGAATGCTATGAATTATCCAAACGCATGCGAATATGCCGATTAAACGTCGAGCAAGTCTAATGTTGCACAATTGTTGTAAACGTTGTCGACTGCTCGTAGCACAATATTGATCCATTGTAGCTAAACAGAAACATGTCAATGAAAGCGAAGTACAAATACTCAGGAGATACAACCGAAATTTACAATAGAATAATGACGTTTCTGTTCCATCAATATTGTATATAGCAAGTAGAATTCGGGGTAATAAATCAGCAAGTAAATCGCAAATATTCACTATCGACATGATGGTTAAATAGAATGAACAAGAATTTTGACGAAACGTTCGAAGACTAAGAAACACAATGATATTAAGACAACCACCAATGACGCCAGTAATCACAATGGATATACCACCATAGATGGTTAGTTGCTTGGTGGCAAAGACTAACGACGAAACACTCGATGTTGACATAATGTTTTCCGAGAATAAAGATTCTTTTCAATGAGAGATTCAGGTTTTATAAACTTTGTTTGATCAGTCAATAAACATGAAATGTATCGTGTAAAATTAGAGAAAATTGTTGCATGACAATGCGTCTGAGTTTAATTGACATTTATATGAATTATTTTGCATCAACAATCAAAGAAAATTAATTGTGATTGTTCACACTGCATTTATCATTCTAAGACGAAATGTTTTTTGCGGACATTTTTGGTCACATATATCAAAAACCTAATCCTCTGTTATAGACCACCTGTGAAGAATATACGCAATGTGCATACAAAAATCCTGTATTCCATTTCGTTTTTTTAATAAGTATTTATTTCATACTGTGTATATATATTACCCAAAAAATATGTGTTCTAATCATTTACCGATCTAAACAATCGTCAAATACCCTCGTTTTTCTCCACTGAAAGAAAACCAACATGCTTCGATTACAATCGCTCGCCGTTTTAGTGTTTATTGGACTTGTTGCCTATGCAAACAGTTTATCAATTAAGCCAATCAAACCAATCAAACCAATAGAATTAACTGATAATGTCAAAGGACTTCGTGTTGGTGGAATAAAACAAGTTTGCGGTGGTGCAGAACTTGAAATTTTATCTATCGAAGATAGCCGATGTCCAGCAAATGTTATGTGCATTTGGGCAGGATTAGCTAAAGTCCAAGCACGTCTTTCGAACAAGGAAGCATCAGACACTGTTGACTTAGTACTCGGCTTACCTCAAAACAACGTCGAAGTTACTCTTGGTGCTAATGTTTATACAGTTGCCCTTCAAAGTGTTGTTCCATATCCTGGACTTGGCGTGAACAACGCTGTGAAAGAAGCTGTTGTTGAAGTAACATGCTCTTAAAAGTTTCTTCCGAATTCTCTAATAAATATGAACTAAAATGCACATATTTCCTATTTCACTGAAACGAAAAGAATGATACAAAAAAAATATGCATACATTCTTACACAAACTCTTGACAAATACACGTGTGTTGAACAATCACGATGAGTTAATGATTTATCAGTTGATAAGATAATGTTAATTGTTACTTATAGTGAACACTGTTAGCAACGAGCGAGTGAATTCAAGCTTTATATTTTGCATAGAAAGGCAATCATACCAACATCTTTTACTTGATATAATCAGCGTAAAATTAGTCGGTATCTGTACAGGGTTGGAAATAATATTTTGCCGGAGGAGGTATCGCTACTATTTCCAATAGTACACCTAATGGATCTTATACCAAAAGAAAGCCCGTCAAAAATGGGGTTTACTAATCATAAAAAAGACGGATTATGCAAGCTTTTTTTATATTATAATTCTCAAAATTGAGAGTTTTTCGTAACATTATTTTCAAAGCTAATTGTTGAACATAGAACAATATAATATTGTTTAGGGAAAATCTAAACCACATTCCTTAGTGACCGTAAGACCTAATCACGACACAAAAGATACGATTCTTTTCTTGCGTTCTGTTGTTTGTTCTTCGTGGTCGTGTCGATTATAAACAAATTTTGGTCGTTATCTCTCACAAGCGTATGAAAAAGAAGAAAACGAACAACTTATCGAACGAAGAGCGTATTTTGATTTTCTTTCCTCTCAAGTAAAAATCTATTTTTTCGGCGAGTCGATTAAGTATTATTCTTTGGAATGGCTGGTACTTATGATACCGAAGAGCAAAGAATAATTGACAGAATTAGATGTATCGCTTTTCGTGAAGCTCAAGATGCTGGTGCAACATTCATTAATTGAAATTGGATTGCAGAGAAAATTCATCGTTCGGTTCGATCTATCACGGATTGGTGGCAAAAGCCATATGATCAATGTTTTACCGATTACTCAAACGCTGATCCTAAACTAAAATTTTCGCAAGCCGGTCCGGATATTATCCTTGAAGCCAGTGGTCGACAAAGAGAAAGCTGTTCGGTGGTAGCGAAAGAGATTGCAGAAAAACGAAAAGAATATGTTGTGCCGAGGACAGTCAATAATTACCGTCATCGAGAAGGTTTAAAACCGTTTCACATCATTTCAAAACCATTAAAGACGGAAACTCATATATCCGATCGATTGAAACGAAGAAGATTTTCTTCATCTAGTGCCATCTGATGAATTTTACGTCTGGGTGTTCGTCGACCAAATTATCAAAATGATCGCATCTGGGCGAAAAGCATTGATGATATTCAAGAAGACGAATGTTATCGTGAAATAGTTAAAAATCAAGCGTGCATTAGAATCTTCGTTATATTTACTGCGAAGAAATTGCACTGGGTCATCAAAGATAAAGGTGAATCATGGACCGGTCAATATTTTCGTGATAAAATTTTGACTGAAAATGTAATTCCATTCTTAAAAAATAAGAAAAATGTCATTGATCCTGATGAAGTTATTTTAATCCATGGCAAAACACCATGCATGCGAGTATATCCTACCCAACATTTGCTTCAAGAAAATGATATTTGGCCGGGAAACTCACTTGATCTCAATGTGGCAGAACACGTCGGATCAATCATCAAAGATGAAGTGGAGACAAAAATGTTATCAGAAACAAGAGATTCTCGCTACCTTGAGGAAACACTCAAGATGCACCTCTCACATGTTTTGGCAGACATGGAAACTAACACTGATCTATTTGAAACTCTTCTATGTTCGTACCCATCTCGCTTACGTGCAGTGAAGAGTGCTAACGGTCGTCATATTGACTATTGATTATATCGATTCAACATTGAAAAATAAAAAATTTTGTATGAAGTTCAGTTGGAATTTTATCTAATAAGTAACATTTTTCAAACCTATTATAAGCTAGTTCTCCCTAAATTTCGGTGCTTTGATATAAAAAAGTTTGTATAATCCGTCTTTTATGATCAGTAAACCCCATTTTTGACGGGCTTTCTTTTGGTATAAGATTCATTAGGTGTACTATTGGAAATAGTAGCGATACCCCCCTGGCAAAATATTATTTCCAACCGTGATATAAGAAAAATACAGAGTTTTAGTTTATGTTCAACGACTATATAATGTACAAACGTCATTAGCCGATAATTCTCGACTATAAATACGAAAATCATCCATATCACCTTTATAAGGCATTGTATTTTCTTGACCCGTTAAACATGAAGATGGAGGATTTAAATTATTACCTAACGTTATATAATTAATACTTTCGCTTGCCACGTAAGTTATTGCTGAACTAAGACTTGATGCAACAAGAATATTATTTATATAGAGACGAATACCATTGCTTGAGCTCCATGTCTGAACAATATGCGACCAAACTGATATGGAAACAGATTTTGTTGGATCAACAATAAATGTAACACTACTACCATTATAAATTTGGGCAGTTATAGAATTATTAGAAGTAAATGCAAGAAATGACAGACACCATCCACCTCCTGTTATATTCGATGATACATGAACAAGAACACCTTGGAGAGAAATTGGTCGAATCCAGAGAGAAATCGAAAACGGTTTATTTGATTTTCCAAGTGCTGTAAAACCATATGCTTGAAAGTAGGAGGAATATGAACCATCAAATGAAATAGCTTCTGAGTATCGACCAGTTGAAATCGACGATGTTGATTGTGTTATTGCTGTATTTAATGAATTCGGACCCGAATCATTAAGAAATAATCCATTATCAAAAGTAAAATAAGCAACTAATGTTGCTATTTCAAGTATTTCACATGATGATTTAACTCGATTTGACACCGTCATTTGATCCATATAACCCTAAAATAATCGAAAAAATAGTACAATTTGTCTTTCAACAAACAATGTTAAACTCCATTATTAATTGATTTTATTTCGAGCTGTATATCATACGATTGTTTACCTGAAAATAATTCAAGTCTGAACTCCGGCTTGCCGCTACTGGTATATATCCTATTGTAATACCAGTTGCGGTCCCTGTAAGAGTGGAAGATGGCGTGCGTGTATTATCTAGTACTCCATTGAAGTAAATCATCTGTATTGACGTTGACCGATCATACACAAATGCGGCATGTATCCATGTATTTAATGTTACTGGTATAACGCCTAAACAGTCATCACCATAAAAACCGAGTTTCAGAACATAATAGCTGATATTATTTCGCCTAATTGTAAAATGCAAACATTGATCATTATTAGATGCTGAACAAAGACCAAATAAACCGTGATCACCCATATTTGAAAATCCAGTAACATAAAGCCACATATCAATAGTAAAGCTAGTTGATAAAAGTGGAATGTATGGTACATTAAGCATTGGATTTGAGTTATTAGCAAATACAAGAGCTTGTCTTATATAACCACTGGTAGTAAATGACATAGCGTTGTTTGGTGTAGCATTATAATTATTCATTTGATCACGATAATTTCCATCAAATAACCATTGAGCTAAACAATTAGTTGTTGAACTCCATGTTTGATTTGTACACGAAGAATTACATGACATTCTGGTTGTAGTAGTGGTTGTTGCTATTAAGATAAACACAAAAGAAAGTATCGGAAAAACCTAATGATGTAGTATAGTCATTAAAACATTACTTGATGATGTGCTACTAGAAGAACTGCTAGCTGTAGTACTAGTTGTATAATTCAACATATAATTATCTACAATAACACAAATTATAATAAAAGAAACCGCCATTTTAAACAAATCATCATATATTTACATCCACATTTGATATTCATTAAACATTTTAGATTAAGATCATTACGACATTCAATATTATTTTGACATGAAGCTCCGTCTAATTTTTGACTTCGGCATATTGATCCATCATAATATGTATTCATTTCACATTGACAACTATTATTAATACATTTCATATATCGATTATTATCACACATTGAACATGCATAACCATAATTAAGAAAATCTTTTATATTTAATTGAACTGATCCATATAATGATTGAGATGATGATGATGATGAAATAATTAATCCTGTCGTATCTACATCACCTTGATAAAGACGACAATATTTTGTTTGAATATCATAATTAAATGTACGACAATATTTAGTTGTCACACATTTTTGAGCACATGTGATAGTAGAACTAGCAGTATTATTAACGAGAAAAAGAGCTTGTTCATTAGAAGGTAAAAATTCTAAACCTATCTGAGATAAATAAAATGATGATTCTCGAATATCTGGATCACTTTGAACAATTTTTTGTGTTATTGTAATAATGAAGTAAATCAATAATAGATAATAGCGACTCATTTTTGTATCTATTCTACAATAATAAATTAAACATGTATATTAAAATCATGAGACACTTTTTCCAAATACGACATACGATCAAAACACACTTTTCTTCTCTTCATTTCTATTATAGTCACTGCAAACAGCACAGATGTTTCTGCCTTATCTGCTGTATTTTATAATTAAAACAAGAAAAGAAATAATTTCCTTTTTTGTGCACTCAAAAAGTGAGTACCCCACTAAAATTGATCAGTGACTCTGGTTGTATGTTTATCCGATAACTCTTGAACAGTCTCAGCAATTGACTAGAATTTTTCTTCCACAGGTTTGTCTCATAAGGAGTGTGGGTGCCGCAGCGAGATGGTCAAACCGGAGGCGGTGAGCAGTCTGTTACATCGTGCACCTTGAGAGCAAATCCTCTAAAACTTGAGTACTTGAATTCTCAGTCTAAAAGAGTTAGTATTCGAATGAAAGTTTTAATACTAGATTTGAATTAACGATTTCTACACTACTCCGAGAGACGATAAACTCAGTTCAAACCAGTCACAAATTTGAAAATTCAGAGATTTTCAAAGTTGCGATTGCGGTAGATGTTCAGCCGCGATGAACATCTCTGATCCTAGAAGAGGATTCATACGATAAAAATTTCTATAGAATATTGTGAAGAATATCTGAAGCATTTCATATCAAAAGATCAGTGAACTGTTGTTTCTGTGAATAAATATTTAAAATTCTGAGAACTTATTGGCTGATCTATGTACAATAAAGATTTAGAAAAATTTCCAACTATGAAAATATATTGGTTAGAAGACATTCATACACAAGTACCTGTTATATATATAAAAGAACTTGTTTGACTTTTATTTCCGAACATAAACTGTCGTTTCTTTATTGTTGCAATTCTCAAATTACTTCAGAATAAAATGTATGGAAAAGAAAATATTTCATAAGAAATATTGCCAGTAACTAGGCATATGTGCTCCTTCTAACTGTGAAAACGAGAAAAGAAATCCACGGAATAAACAAAAATATACCTGACTGATGACACATTTACTATGCAACAAATTATTTATTTAAGTATAATGCATTTTACAGTAACTTGCCAGTTTTTGCGATAATTACTTATATTTATGCATTAAATTTTCAATTACAATATCAACTATTGATTTTAGTTATTAGTTTAATTTTAAGTACATTCGCCTTTTTTATTATTGTATTTTCAAGATCAACTAATAATCTTAATGAATTAACACCATTGATCAATCAATCAACATAAAAGAAAATTTTTATTTTAAACTGTATTCTTCACTTCTTTCATTAAAAATAAACATCAATCTTTTATGAATAGAATCTATTTTTGATCGAGAAAATATATTGACAAATTACACATGAAATATTCGAACATTGCCATCTGTGTTCATTTTAGTTTCTCAATGATAGATAACTTAACAATACAATGAAACTTTTTAACATCTTGAATTTCTTATCGATAAATAAGAAATGAACATAGGATATCTTTCAACTGTTAACTAAGGAAAAAAGAAAAGTGATAAAGATAAATGCAATCTTAGTAAATGAATGAAAAGAAAATTCCAGATAAATTAATTTCATCACTTTTTTTTTAGAAAAATCACATTTTTCATTTGAAAAAACTCAATAGCACAGTCATTTTCCATGTCAGAATAGAGAACTTCAAATGCGAATGGTACTTCGCCTATATATTTTATAAGTGTGTATGTTAAGCGATACTCATTCGAAAGATAAAGAAAATAAAAGTCTATAAGAACAGATGGTATGTTTGCATACGGAAAAATATATTAATTAAAGGTCAATTTTTTTGCGATGCAAATAAGTGAATATCTTTTTAACAACATGAAAGAAACTTTTATATATTAATAATATTTTCGTTAAGTTTATTTTATTTTATTGGTTAAACCCCTCCCCGTATTAGAAGCCTCTGGAAGCTTATACTACGCCCAGCGTCGAAAACTTTTGGAGGGGGCTTCTATTGTGTGCTACGTTTTTGCAAAGATTATAAATAGGAAAGTTTTTTAGAAGCTTTGAGAGTTTTCTATAGATGTTCGAAGGAGTTTTTGGGATTCTGATACCGTTAACTAAGATTTTGACACAATTTTACCTGTAAAGCTTGTAATTCTTAAAGTTTTTCCGTAAAAATCTTAATCAAAGTTTCGAAAAAATTCTTAAAAACTTGATAAAATAAGAAGGGCTTCTACCTAGGTCAAACAATCCATCCCGAAACTGGCAGGATCCAGAATATTCTGGCGATTTCGTGGCGCAGGATTCCAGACCGGACTTTCCCGGGCCAAATCCGTTCGTTTCCGATCGTATCCGAAAGTAAAAACTTGGAAAGTTCGAGGAAAAAACTCTAACCAATTCCATCAGGAACCTTACATGCGGAAACTGGAAGGAAACGAACAGATCCGAAGATGACTTTCCTAACATATGGAACCGAACTGTTCCGAACTATTCCCATTTCTTTCTGTTTTTCTCACATGCTTCGAAAACACTTCACTGAAGCGAAGATCTAACTTCGCAACAGATCATAATCACAAAGCAAGCTTTGATCCAGTGCCTGTGACTCGTGTATGAGCAGGATTTTCGAGCCGATTTAAATCGGATTCTTAATCCTCTCAAAAATCCTCATCGAAAATCACTACCCTAGAATTCAGCAGTCATTTTAGGTACCCATGTAGAAAAATAGGGGCAAAACACCCGATGAAAATAAATTTTTTCGGAAAAATCCACAAAATTAGCGTATATCCCAAACTTCTGATTAAATACGAGGAAAAATAGACTACCACCGATTATCTCAGAAATAATCCGTTAAAATCTATTAAAAACCACCATAAAATTGATGTAATTGAGTTTTTCAACAGCAACAGATTTTAACCCATTTTTTCCGAGTGGTAATCAATTTACTGAATATAGAAAATAATTTTCTTTGATTAAATTATGAAATAGTCGTTTTACTTGATTATTATCTGAGAAATCGATTCAAATCCTTTAAGCTATTTGAAATCATAAAAAATAGCTATAATCGTCAAAAATCGTAACCGATTTTAATCACAAAAAGAAAAAAGGGCGTTTTTCTCGAATATTCAACTTTCAAAAAATTTTTTAAAGCTTTTTTTCGGAATTTTCGCATCGACAAATAGTGACTCAACAGTGGAGTAGCCTATGATATCCTTGAGATAGTGACAGTCACGATATAATTTGATACTCACTCGCTTAGGAAAAAACTGATTAAAATTGATTTTTATTATAAAAAAATCGACTGAAATCAGGTTTACTCCTGTTTTCCTTTAACATGGGTTCTCGCTTTGGTAATATTTTTCATAACTCTTTGGTCGGTCGGTTATTGTAGGTTCCGGCGAGAACCGTACTGTGGGACTGACTCGGAACGAGTCGGTTCCATGTCCGATGCTTTCCGGTCTGGAACACTGCGTCAGTTTCCTAGTGGTTTTCCGTTTGGTCCCGTCGGGATCTGAGTGGAACTGGACGAAATGAGGCGGAAAAGGGATGCTTTTCTGCAGGTCCCAGTCACGCAGCCAGGATTTTTTGGAAGGGGGGGATCAACTCTGTAACTATCGGTTTTTTAACAGGTCTATTTTTCATCTTAATGAGTGCTTTACTATCTATTAATATTCACATTCATTTATAATTAAATATAATTTTTACAAAAGGAAACCGAAAACATAATAACTACGATACTTATTTATCTTGATTGCTAAAATTTAATTTGCGTTTTGACTTGGCAAATTCGTCAATCACATTTTCTATATTTAATTCTTGAGCAATGCCTTTATGAGTATTTATAACTGCCAAATTACTGAGCCGTTCATCACCTGTTCGATTGCGTAGCTTTGTTTTGATCAATTTCAGGACTGAAAATGATCGTTCTGCACTAGCCACCGAGACTGGAATAAGTGCATAAATTTGTAATAAAATATAGATATTCGCATAAAAAAACTTAATAGATTGTATAAATTCTAATGTTTAGATTATTTTATTTGGTCGTTCATTTTCTTTCAACCGAAGAATAGAAAATTTCCATGTGTCAAATTCCGCCTTGTGTATGTTCGTATCATTAGTTTGTAAATCATCTTTGTAATGATGAAACAATGGAGAAACATCAGAAAATTGAATGTCAGAAATATAGGACGGGATTAAGCTTGAGATTTGCATAGCGATTTTTTGAAGAATATTTCTTAATACTAAAAGATTAGCTTAAAAATTTACAAAACAATTTTTTTCGGAGGGGGGGGATCGATCCCTGCAATCCCCCCCCCCTGCCTGCGTCACTGGCAGATCCCATGGGGTTCCGGAACGTCCGTCCTGGGTAATCTATCCGGCAAATCAGATCTTCTAAAGGGGGCTTCTATTATAGGGAGAAGTTTATCGTAAATACCATGTTTATCATTAGGTGACAATTATACCTTCGATTTCAATAAATATTATCTACTACTCTTCAACATTTGTCTGGAGTTATTGTCACCGTATTAAGAACAGATGGAAGAATGGAAAAGATTTACAGTGTGTTTCCAATGAAGATATCAAATAAATCTTTGCCTAGTGAGATTTTGCAAACCGAAAGACTAAAAAGCATTTTATTCATTTCGGAATGAATAATAAAACAATAGTGAAAAGAGAATAGTTATGAGATCGAAAGTTCATCCCATCGTGAATAGAATTGCCAGTGATATTGCTGTCCTAGTCGAGTATTGCCAACAAAATCGATAGTTGTTGAATACACTGTGAGTCACGTCATGTTTCAGGAAATAGATCTGAAAATGCCCAAAAGCATATTAGTTTAGGTGGACAACGATAACCAACTGCAGCAATATTGATTGTAATATGTCCTGCCAATAGAATTGCGAAGTAATGGAAGCTAAGTGTGCAGCTTGATCGAACCGAATGGATGGGTCAAGTTGACCGAATATCATTAATAGTGACAAGTATGATGCTACTTGATGCTGATATTGATCTAGTGGATATTTTAACTATTGTGAACGTATTCGAATGTACTCTTCAGCAACATCTGGAGCCATTAAAATTGACTTGTGCCAAGCAATTATGGTTTTTTCATCCAATTCTGATAATTTAGGAGACCCGAATATATCAATCTTGGACTATTTTGTTTCGTTCTACTCATACTACCTGATACCTTTCGAAAGGAGAAGCTCAATGCAATTACATCTTCTTTGTTATAACGATGCAAACGAAATATTGCTGCCGCCTAGTATGACTGTGCGATCCATATATTGTTCGCCAGACTGAATCATTCCAAATAGTAAGTTACGAACTTAGTCTGATGTTTACTGATACTGACTAAAATAACTATGTACACAGGCTTGCTTGTTAACATCCAATTGTTTAAAATTTCATCTTGGAGGATGACTTGTGGTGGTCGATCAATAGGAAAAAACTAGTTGGATTCGACGTTTATTGGACAATAAGTTAAAAATTGTAAACCAATAACGACTGACTGGACTAACAATGGATAGATCTGCAGAAAACGATCCGACCATTGTGTCATACGATACACCATATATCGATATTCGACCAGGATATTCGGATTGATAAGATTGGATTTGCACTGTCAAATCGTGTGTGACTACAGTAATCGAGAATTGATCTAGGCCGGAGATACCTAATTTCATCGTTAAATAGGTGATGCAATTAGGAGTTATATTTTTTGAGTTCTGGTCATCGCAGCTGAACACAGTAGATAATTCTGTCCCACGATGATTCCAAGCGATGCAGGTATAAGTTGTGCCGCATTTTCTATCAGATCCCAACCAGATCCACCTGGTCCACCCATAGGAATAAATAGCGTATTATTTTCGGCCGGTAATTCGACAGGTCAAAGACGCAACATTGAAATGGTAATGGGCTTGTTCGATTGTGCATAGTCCAACGGTACCGAAAGAGTACAACAGTCAAGAGGCTAGCCAAGCCATTGTGAAGGATAACCAGTAACGTTGCATGCTACCCAGACACAATGCTGGTTATTAATTTTGATCTCTGCATGTTCACTTGTATCCACATTAATAGCCAGTCGTGCCATAAAGAATAGTAGAAAAAAATTGATATTTCATCCTATCAAATGTGTACTACTTGCCTTTTAACATATAAGATTTCTAACTTGCAAATGCTACTCAATTATTTGCTAAAGGTGAGGATAATACGAGTGACCGAGTATATTTTAGATCATGTGTGTTCTTATTAGTTCACCATATGTCTTATACTATACTGTACTAATCTCCTAATGAATACTTAAATATTACTCATCAGCAATAAATATGTCCGATATTTATATATACATAGCACTACACTACAACGATTATTCGCATACTGTTTAGGCAACGAACAAAAGCACCGAATGATCTTCTCGCGCCTCTAACAATACAAAGACAACAATCTAGATGACTCTTTTCTTTTATTAATTATCAGTATCTCTTTTCATTGCACCAAAAAATACTTTCGAAATAAAACACGCTTAGCCACACATAAGTCGAACTCCCAATCCTGTAGGACAATAGTTGTTGAACGATGTCGAAAAGGAGCATGAGTTCAGATTTGAACCACCATAGTTACATGTTACACCACTCAACATATAGTAACATCTGTCAGATCGTTCAATCTTCGACACATGGTGTTGCGAGCGACACTTTTCACTAACAAAGTTAACACTCCAGTTGGAAAAAATGTTTCCATTGTTCTGATGACCAAGCATACGACACATAGTATCAGCTGTAGATTGACTGAAGCCAGAACTGCACACCAATCCTTCGATTGAGAACACGTCGCCTGTGAGAATGCTACGAATGTCGATGACCACTTTGAGTGGAGTTGTACTGCTGATGGCATAGCTCTGCACAGTGTATGCGTGAATCAAACTGAAGATAGGTGAACAGCCTGGTAGTGCAGCTCGATGATCATCAGTTGACAAGGCGGTTCCGTTTTCACCGAGCGATTCGATCGCAAAAGGCCACTGTTTGAATGGCACATCGTAGTGCATGTTTGCTTCGTCATGAATTGTTTCGCCCATTACCTCGTAACCATGTTGAAAGCATGTTACGAGCAAGATCCATGAAAGAACAGATGCTTGAAAAGCCATTGGAATGTGTTTGAATAGTTGATTGAGTTTGTGAATGATACGGTATATATTAGCGCAAAGCACGCTTTTTATACTAGTTGAAGACCGGGAGGTTTGCTCAATCAGTTGCCAGATGCGTTTTTTCTCTATGCTAGAAGCCGAATGAGTGATAAGAAATGCCTGGTATTGGTGTGTCGAGGATGAGAACGGAACAACTGGTGACGCCTACAAGCTGTTCGTTACTGTATATTCCGCGAAAAGAATGTTTGTGTGTGATGGAACATTCGACAACTTTCCGCGAAAGTGAATGCATGAAAAAGTGCAAACAACTGACAGGATTCTCAAGTAATAATTATACATAGATGCTGTTGTCACAAATGCAAGGGTATCGAGCGATAGTCGATGCAATGTGAGTTGACAATGAGGGTATCATCGACGCAGGCAAGTTAATCACAGAAAATTATAACCTCACTATCGAGAGAAAATGAGAAACGGAGATGACGGTTGCTGTGTTGTTGTTTTGCATAGCACTTTTTTCTTTTCAAAGAAGAAAAAAGCTTTTACGGTTGCTTTTCAACCTTGAAACATGGCTCGATTTCGATTTTTCACCTTCACCATCGAATTCTGAGACGCTATTCGCTCTCAACAGAACGGCAAGATAAACAAAACTTTTCTCCAACAACGAGTCTTGTTGGCAACTATAAAAGTATGCAGTGCACTTTTTTCGAAATACAGTTGTCGATCTCTCAGGTATGGGTTGTGGAAATAGCTCAAACGCTGGCGTTGTTCCTCTTACTCAAGTGACTGAATCGAACGCCAATAAGCAGCGAACTACACCAGTTTCTGAAACAGTTCAACGTGTAGCTAGTGCTTCGTCTTCGAAACGAATCAATAGAAAAAGTATCACAAGTATCGGTTCTCATTCAAGTGTTCACATCAACACACCGACGATCGGCGATAACCATGTGAAAAGTCCATCAATACACTCGGCGACTGCTGATGTTAATCAAAACATTATCATAGTATGGGCAGATGCGAATATTGATCAAAAGAAAAAATTGTATCATGATTCAATAACAAAACTTCAACGACTCACTTCTTCAATCTGTACATACCGTAAATCGTCAGAATGCGTTAGCTATGTCGATAGTGTAACAGAGAAAAAGATCTTTCTAATCGTATCAGATGAAATGGGAGAAGAACTCATACCACTCGTTTACGACAAAGAGCAAGTTGATTCGATTTATATATTTAGTCAAACTAAAAAAAGAAGTTTGCCATGGGTAACGAAATGGTCACAAAAAGTCAAAGAAATTCTGTTTACTATGGAAGATGTCTTTGAACAGATTAAAGTTGATAGTGGCCTAGTTGGCAGTTTAGTACCGATTAGTATAATACGTCGAATGAATGTTCCTGAATCGGTGGCAAACGAATTGAACCAGTCGTATATGTATACACAGTTACTCAAAGACATTTTACTAGAAATGAAGTATGATTCTACAGCGAAAAGTAAACTGGTAGACGACTGCCGAGCCAAATACGCTGATAGTCCTCTTCAGACAAATTTAATCGATGAGTTTAATCTGGAATATAGCAATCTTTTGGCCATTAAATGGTATNAGTTATGGTGGAAAAACTAGTCTCATTGCTAATCGATCGTGATATTCGAAATGCTGCGATGAGATTTTTTGGTTATCGCACAAATCAAGTTCTACCGATTGCAATTAACATCATCACTCCTGGAAAAAAGAATTCTCAGTCGTAGTTTCCCAGTTGTTGAACATACTGATTCAGTAGAGCGACTTTCATATAAATGAATATTGTATACTCAATATCGATTCGTTTTTTTTGTCTTTTCACCAGATCATATATTCAGACAAGTTAGTTATACATTTGATTCACTCAGAAACTGCTCCGCATATAGACCAAATGAACAATGGTAGATTTAAGTCCAACACGGTGAGAAGAGTAATCTTTTTTACTTATGATGATCATAAAGCTTCAAATAACTAAGCAACGGAAGCGAACGTGATCTTTGAGCAAGACAATTACGCTTGAATGAATAATACATGTGACCTCGCTAAATAAGATAGTTTGAAAAAGACATGATTCGTCGTTCATAATCTCACATCTTCATTTTCAACCGCCTGAATACAGCTGATTTGTTAGTGAATTTATCACATTAGAGTTCTTCTATGATGAAAGGAGTAGTTTATTTAAAATTATGTGAACACTCGCATAAGAAAGTTGGTCGGTGAACAAATTTTCAACATATAGGTCAATAAGAACTGGAAAAAGAAAAAAATGTCTAGTAAAGTTTTGATGTCGATCTTTGTTTTGAGAAACAATAGGTAGAGTAAATGAACTTGTTAACAATGTAATTGGACAGCAACATCGTTAAAGCCAGAATTAAGAACAATAAGATCTAATTTCTCATCATTGTTCAGATCGGCGACTGATACCCAAGCTGGGCTAGTACGAGTTGAATATGTTGTTTTATTTGGAAAAACAGCATTGCCTGCATTGATGTAGATAACAACATTGTTTGAAGCACTATTGGTGACAATAATATCCATTAGATTATCGTTGTTCATATCTCCAACGGCTACTGCCACTGGATCGTTACCGCATGGATAAGTAGTTTGAGCCGAAAAACTTCCGCCGCCTGTGTTTATGAGAACTCCGATATTGTCTGATCCATAATTCGCAACTACGATATCCAGCTGGTCGTCTAAATTAAAATCAGCAACTGCTATTGCTTGTGGTGTGGATCCAGTTGCGAAAGTCGTTTGATTAAGGAATGTTCCATTACCTGCATTGAGAAGGAGGCTGATGGTATCCGAATTGTAATTTGCAACTAAGATGTCTGAATAGGAATCGCCATTTATGTCAACAACGACTATCGATATTGGGCCAGAACCTGTTGAGTATAAAACTTGATCGTGCAGTATACCGTTTCCCATATTCATAAAGACGCCGACAGTATTGTCATCGAAATTTGACACAACTACATCATACAGATTATTCTTATCCACATCGGCAACTGCTATTGACGATGGCGTAGAACCAGTTGAGTATACGGTTTGATTCGGAAAGAATCCATTAGCTGCATTGAAAAGAACACTTATTGTTGCTGCTTGCATGTTCACTACAATTATATCAGATTTATTATCTTTGTTTAGGTCAGCAATGGCTGCCGCTGCTGTACTAGAGCCAGCCGTGTAGTTTACATTTGGAAGAAAACTACCGTTACCAGCATTTATCAAAACACTGATGCTACTAGTTCCGAAATTTGTAATAACAAGATCCGATTTCATATCACCATTAAGATCACCAACTGTTACTGACAACGGGGAAGCTCCAGTTGCATAAACGCTTTGATTATTAAACATGCTAGTACAAACTAATAAATATAACAATTTTATTTCTTAGTCAAACATGCTCAGGTTGATTACTTACCGATAGGTGCTGGTCTATTACTCAATACAAGAAGGGTGATAACATCTGTTTGTGCCAGCAAAGTTCCACGTTCATTGGGACTATCAAGGAATAATTGACAAGCATGACTTGATTCGTCAAATGTCAATGTCCGGCAAGTGATATCAACTAAGCAGGCAACTTCACAATGTCGCAAATCAGATACTGAAACTGTGGTCGATAGTGAACAAGTTGGATCATTGCATTGATATTGTTCATTGTTTATCACAGAGAAATATACTGAATTGATAGTTGCTGCTGTCGACTGTGTAATGAGCATAAGTACAAATAAAAGAACCATAGCGAACTGTGATTTTGTTTTTCTAGAATGAAGAAAAGATAAACGTCTTGCCTAACAAATTATAGATACTTTTATAAAATGTATACAAGTTTCCTGAAAGTTACCTACTTTTGAATACAATTATGGTATTCTATTTTCTTTTCTCTTTATACATGATGAAACCAAGTAGTCTTCTCTTCCGTCGAGAGTATCGGTAACCATCGCAAACTCTAACAAATACAGAACACTTATACTGTGATTGATATGAGTTTGTAATTTAACTGTAATATCCGTCAAGAGTAATCAACGACTTTCTTCGTTGTGCGTACGCTTTCATTTCCTACGACATTTCGAAAAGATCTGCGCCATCATATTAATGATTTCTCGGTACAAAACAAGACTCATTAGAGTTATTGCGTTCTATTTGTATTCCTTTACCTATTATTTTATTTTTATACTACATATTCAATTCCAACAATTGTCACTGTATTAACCCTGCAATACAATTTCTTATTGCACTGTGGATTGTTTTACTAACTTGTTTTTTTTTTCAGATCAAAATAATATTGAGAATAAACGACAATATCGCTAGAAAAAGACACTTGGTAAATCACTACAAAATGTTCCCATTTGAAGACGACCTCTCAGAAGCTCATAAATATGTACAAACATATGTCATATGTAGAAGACAGTATATTCACAATAAGTAATGATAAACGAAATTCAATTAGGAGAAAGCCACTAATCAACAATCCACAATCAATATCACGAATAGAATGTATGTTCGTTCGATGGTCAACTTTCGGGAATACGAGCTGGTAGATTGTATTACCAACGGCTAAGTGTGATTAACATTCAAATAGCAATGAAAATATTAACTGAACCAATGAGAAAACAGATCACTGTCCACCGATCGTATATTCTTCGGGAAAATCTATTGGGAACAGTCGTTGTTAACGAGTATCAAGTTTGGTCATTCAGTGAATGTCTGCCCATAGCATATCACTCTAGTAGATCGAAAGAAAATAAATGCTTAGGTATCAAACGTGATAAAATATCATTTTATTCATTTCCGTACCATGCTGAAAGACTTAAATGTCAATATTCAAGCAAAAAAAACACGACTAAGTTTACCCGTTGTTTTATTTCCGTACAGTCAAGTATTGCTCACGTTACAATAAAAACACCCAAGCCTCGATGTTTGATACTCACGTCCAATCGAATAACGCTACCATAGGTAATACTCAAAACTCGACGGATTCGATCTTTAACGCGTGTAATTGATATGTTATATTGACTATAAAACATGTTCCTACAACACCTTGATTTCCTTTGAAATAATATGTAACGTACGTCAGATAGCTATGTTTTGCCTACACAAAGAAAGTCATGAAATCATGCTCCAGAAAAAAAGAAAGCATAAATGATAAATAGACATGGTAAACGATTATTTTAACGACATTGTCTGTGCTATATCTATTGGAAAATAAATCGTTCATATATTACTCTTTGGATTGATCATGATCCTAGAAATCTGCGTATTATTATCGATTGCATGGACGACGGTACTAACAACAAGTAAGTTATCATTGACAATCACGAATAGGATCCGATCATCTCATACTACTTTGATGATCATTTAGCTGTATCTTATAACCAGCCGAAATTCTGTTCAACAGCATTGTGGAATGCGAATGCAACGACTTTCGCAACTGAAGACAAAATCGGTACGCATTCACATGGCATTTTTGTCGATAAAAATAACAACATCTATGTTCCTAATTGGAGTTCAAATAAAATTGTATTATGGCACAATAATAGTAAAACAGAATATAAAACTTTTGCTGGAAACTTATCCTCTCCACAAAGTGTTTTCGTGACATTATCTGGTGACATGTATGTCGCTAACGTTCAGAGCGGTTGGATAACGAAATTCACACTCAATGAAACACGCAGTACATTGACTATAAATAAAATGGGTAATTGTCTTTGTGTCTTCGTTGACGTGAACATTACTATTTACTATTCATTTTGGGCAGTGCATAAAATTTTTAAACAGCCAGTGAGTGGTACTACAGCTGGAGTAACGACTGCGGCAGGTAATGATACTGCGGGAAAAGCCAACAATCAACTAAATCAACCTTTCGGACTTTTTGTGGACATCGATTTGGATTTATACGTGGCCGATTTTGGAAATAATAGAATTCAACGGTTTCACTCCGGTCAAGTAAATGGAACAACACTGGTAGGAGACGAAGTATCCTCCTCAACTAAGTTAAATCGTCCAACAGGAGTCGTACTGGACGGCGAAAAAAACTTATTTATTGTCGATTGTCATAATCATCGCATTGTTCGACTGATATCGAACGATCTACGTTGCGTGGCTGGGTGTTCTCAATCAGCAGAATCTGACCTCAGCAGATTAAATGAACCTATAAGTCTTAGTTTTGACAGTTACGGAAATATATATGTGGCAGATAAGCTTAACAATCGAATTCAAAAGTTTGTTTTCATAACAAATTCATGTAGTAAGTAATTGCACAGATGTTGGCAGTATAGCTTTACCTTCACCAATGAGCACATCCTCTATGATCTGTATAAAACTCACGATTTTTTTAATATATGAAGGCTTCCATGAAATGCCAAATTTCGTTCTTAACTGTAGCTAATCGAAGACGTAGTTTACAACAAACGTAAAACTTTAAATTACACATATTTTCTTCATCGTTTTCCTCAATCTTCTACATATTTTGCAGATCAAACAACGACAACATTGCCATCACCACCGACGGCGTCAGGTGAAAATAGAGGTTATTCATTATTTTGCTTCTGTAACAAATTTACATAGTATTGATATCTTTTTCTAAATAGTCACAACGAGCAAGAATCGAATCCAATCGGCGCCTATATCAACAGCTGTTGGTATTACTACAGCACACAGAGAAAGTAAATAATGTTTAACTTTCCATTTGATTATCGAAATATGTTCTATCAATTTAACTCACATTATCTTCGTCTGCAATAGATCTCATCGCCACTACGTCATCCATCTTAAGAAACCATCAACCATCCAGCAGGATTCCGCCGATTGGTACTACAGCGATAGTTGACATTGCTACTACACAAGTCAATCGAAGCACTACCACAAGCGGTACTACTGCGATCCAGTCTTTTGTCGCTCCTAATTGCTATAATTATACTTCTACTGGTGTTCTTTGCAGCCAACTTGAATCGATATGCAAGCTAGCAAGTCCATGTCACAATAATGGCAGCTGTACTCTAAATAGCAGTGCGTCAAGAGGATATTCTTGTTGGTGTTTGCCTTATTTTAACGGTACCTTATGTCAATATGACCACCGACCATGTAAACCGAACACATGCTGGAACAATGGTAAGATAAATAGTTCTGTTTCGAGAATTGTATCAGTATCAATTGTGTGCATTTTCCATAGGTACTTGTGTTCCAGATAAGTCAAATACGACTTTCGAATGTCGATGTGCGGTTGGATGGGATGGTAAACATTGTGAACCAAAGATAAACTATTGTTGGAACGCCACTTGCTTGAATAAAGGCGTTTGTTTCCCGTTATTCATGAATTATAAATGCGAATGCGTAGGAGATTATTCTGGTCGTCATTGTGAAATATCTAGCCGAAGGATGATAATTCATAAAATCATTTCGAAAACAGTTTCGTATGTGACGATTCTTGTTTTGATCGTCACTGTCATGTTTTTCGTCATCATGGACATATTAAAGTATTGCTTTGGAATTGACCCGGTTCACCAAGAACGAGAACGATTGCGACGAGAAAAACGAATGAAGAAACGTAAACCCGTCATTCAACGTCCTGTCTATGTCAATCCACCGCCCGTTATTATCATCCAGGAAACAACTCTCTAGAATAATCTTGCTTTTTGCATGTGTTTAGTGGATGCTAAGAAAGGTGACCTGTCTTTTTCGTTAGAATTCGTGACGTAGATGGGCGTTGTCACGGCATGACAACATGCAAACAATCATCACATTCCATCCTTATCTGCCTTGAACTTGATTTTCTCTTCGCTTTGTATCGAATATTTATCAGATGTCTTTTGATACGGTAGAAAATGACTTGTTTTGATACATTGACATCAATCTATAATCGATTTTACACTGGAAAACGTATATGATCTTTTCTAATTAACGTTTTCATTCGACACACTTTTTCATCTTCTAAGTCAAATATATATAAGCACAAGAAGCTTCATCGAAATCACTTATTTTTGTCTTTCTCGTCCGTTTTTCTCATTTCTTCGTCGATCAGAAAGCAATATCCAATGGCTATTCATGTATCATACAATATGCATCCATACCAAATGCAATTCTATGAACCTTACAGTTATTCTTCATATTATGGTCTACCATCAGCGATGACAACTGGTAAGGAAAACCAAATTGAAAACATTTCTTGTCAATGCAATTGTTCGTTTTAGAACTGTTGTCGTATCCTGATGAAAAACCGAAAGCAGAGAAGAAAGAAACAACGCTAAATACGCTCTTGACTTCCTTAGGCCGTTCTACGAAAAACTTTCGGACTGATTCCCATTCAAATAGTTCATTCGCGTCTGTTGAATTCACAACGTCAGATAACAGCAAATGTCAGAAACTCTTACGAAAATGCAAGAAGATTTTGAAAATTAAATCTAGTGAAAAATGAACTTTAGATTTTCTTCTGAAGAATTCACGGCAAATCTAATTTGCTCATTGTTTTTATTCTGTAATAAATTCAGAATTGGTGTCATATAATCATTCGTAATCGGCAGGATGCAGGCAACATATCTGACTTAACAAATGTTTTGAAAATATGGTGATTGGTATTCATTAGCTGTAGACGATGTGTGAGATTGAAATTGTCGTGATAAAAACAAGTTGAATACTGAAGTTTGCGGCGTTATGATTTTTGTTTAGCGTACTTTTATCCTGTTGGTACGTAAGAGAGAATGGCATCGCTTCTATCACTTCCATTTTTCTCTTACACCTGAGACGAAAGATCCGAGAATAAAGTCTATTAGTTTTGATAAAAAAATGAATAAGCAAGTGGGAGGAAGAAATGATTTTATGTTTGTATGGTTGGTCATTATGATAACATGCGTGTCCATGAAATTATGAAAATAAATGAGAAAAAAAATGCCCTAGTGGAAGAATCTTGTAGACTCTGTCAACTTGTTTTTGATGATTAAGTTCGAAAATCTATAAAAAAAGAAAAACGGAGCAACGATATGACGGTTTTCCGTGTTGATGGTAAATGCAGAAGGCTGTTCTTTTATCATTCTGCGCCAGGCATTGGCATTTTCAAATATTGTACGTTTCAAAGTACAATAATAAAAATAGAATATATACGCAAAATGCAATTATAATGTATTTCAACATATACAGAGAAAATTTGATTGTTTTTTTTTTACATGTAAGAGCATTACAATAATTTGAATGTAATGGTGAAATGAGAATATTTCCAATATAGACTGACTTTTGCATAGTGCAATGATGGCTATTTTTCTCTCTAGATGGCAACAGATCCGTCAAATCCGAGTCCACTTCTGAATGCAAAAATATGGTCACGTCTTTTTTTCAAGTATATCTTTGTCTTATGTTTTGTCGAAACCGGAGTTGAAGTTTTCTAAAAAATTCTTTCAGTTGGTTATCTCCACTTCTAAAACAAGGTAGACTTAGTCAAGATGATCTCTATGAACTTCCTAATAAATACAATTCGTTGAAACTCACTGAAGAACTCGAAGGAAACTGGCTTGATGAAATCAAAGATTCAGCACGAAGTCCGAGTCTTCTTCGAGCAACCGTACGAACCATACGACGGAGAGTATTACTCATCAGTTTACTGATGATTCCACAGGTTAATTGACTTGGTAATTCTCTCATTCCTGACGAAAGTTTTTAGACTTTAGTAGCTATCGGTCAACCACTAATAATCGTATTGTTAATGGATTTCCTCGATCCATGTACGACAATGAGTACATCTACTGCTTGGATTCTAGTCATTGTAAGTATTTTGGTTATTTGGATTCCATGTGTTTTCTACCATCAAGTAAATATTTATACTACTAGCTGCACAAAAAAAAATGATTTTTTTGTAGCATTCTGCTAGAGTGAGATGCTTCGGTATGCAAATGCGTACTGCTTTTGATGATCTGATTTTTCGTAAGGTAAGTACTACGCATAGATCAATGGTTTATTCATTATACAGTGTATGTGAACAGATGCTTCGATTGTCGAATGATTCAATGACTAGAATCGGTGTTGATGGTATCGATAGTTTGGTATCAAATGATGCTTCTCAGATTGAGACGGTGTTAATCTATCTCGATTATCTATGGGTACGTGATGTACGACGTTTGTTATGAACTAATCAAATGAAGTATATCATGTATATTTAGCGTGGTCCATTCGAAATTATGCTTATCATCGGATTTTTCTCATACTTTGTTAAATATATTTCATTGATTGCATTGGGTTACACATTTATAGTTTTACTACTTCAATTATTGATCAGTCAGATTCTGATTGGATTCAAAAGTAAACTTTTTCAAATCACGAACGAACGCGTGAAGGTACTGTCGGAAATTGTCAAATCAATCGGAGTTGTTAAAATGTATTGTTGGGAATCAGCTTTTCTACAAAAAGTTCTTTCATTAAGAAAGTAAGATTTTCTTCCAAACAAATATCAGATTGTATCAATCATTTTATTCTATAAGGAATGAATTAATTCGTTATGTGCATTGTGCTGCAGTGAATTCTATTATACAGACATTAAAGTATACGTATACTTCTGTAACATTTCTCTTAATGTATTTAACCATGTGGTCTCTTGATATGTCGTTGGATACTCGTGTTTTTGCTCTTTACTCTTGTTTGATTGGTTATCTACAGTACAGTGTGATGGATTTTCTGCTTCAAGCAATTAGAAATCTTATTGAGTACTTGGCTGCTCAAAAGAGAATCCAAGTAAGTGATATGAATGGAAAAAAATAACATTAGAAGCGTTCATAGGCATTTTTATTGCTTGCGGAATGTAAACGTAATGAACGATCATTGTCTCAACCTGCATTAGCAAAAGCCAAAGATGATCCAAGTAAATTGTTGAAAATTAGTTGCAATGTGAAATCAGCCAAATGGGACGAAGTAACGTGTTAATTTTCATGAGATAATTTTGAGATGAGTCGATTTTTATTTAGAATTCAACATTTGCATTGAAAAACATCGTATTTGAAGCTCATTCGGGAGATTTGATTTGTATAATTGGACCTAGTGAATCGGGCAAAGTTTGTTACTTTATCACAGATGGATTTGTTCTTATTGATAGAATGTAGACTTCTCTTTTACGTGCTATTTCTGGTGAAATAACTCACTTCAGCGGTAAAATTCGAATGTGTGGCACGTGTTGCTATTTACCCCAAGATTCTTGTGAGTATCTTCATCGATAAAAGTGGAAATCAGAGTAGAAAGTTGTAATCTCTAGGGATATTTTCTGCTAGTATTCATGAAAATATTCGTTTCAGTCAAGAGTATGATTATCTACTATTCAAACGTATCATTCATGCAGTAGCTCTCGATACGGTAAGAAGTTGATAGAGAAGAATAATTGTACACTTTCCTACAACTATAGGATTTAAGTCAACTACCGCATGAAGCTGAGACAACAGTGGGCGATCAAGGTGTGATATTATCTGAAGTAATTAGCCAATCTCACAAGATAATTTACCTATGCATTTGTTCATTGGCAGAGCCAAAAAGCGCGTGTGAATTTAGCTCGTGCACTGTATCGTGATGCGGATATTTATCTATTGGATGATCTGATTTCACGTGTCGATGCTAAACTATCAAAATGTCTCTTCGAAAGGTAAAACTCTATTGACAAAAATTCTTGACACATATCGACCATACTAGAGCAATCAAAGGCTTCTTACGTGATAAAATATGTATTCTTGTAACACACCAAGTACAAGTTCTCAAACACGCGAGGCAAATTATAGAACTTAATAAAGTATAGAGAAAATCTTATGATCGCTGGAAACTGCTTGCATCATGAATATAATTCTAGGGAGAGATAGTACGTGTAGGAACATTTGGTGAGTTACGTACTGATTCATCTTCATTCTGTCGACAACTTGAGAAGACTATTGAAGAAGAAAAGAGACATCGACAGTTATTTGGACTAGACAAACGATTTTCCATAGGTGATATTTCACTTGCCGATTTGAAAGCAGATGAGCAATCTTCGATAGTATCAACGCCCTCTCTTACGCTGCCATTAGAAAATACAGAACAAAAGCCTGAACGAATAAGCGGATGGCATGTTTACGTTGAATTTATTAGAGCTGGTGTTGGTCTTATTCTGGGCTTTCTTCTATTTCTGTCGACGTACTGCTTACGCGAAGGAATTTTTGTTTATAACAATTGGTGGTTAGCAAAATGGACCGATGATGAAAACTATCGATATCGCGTCGATATTAATTGTACTAGCACAGTAGATGAACAAATTCTTGGAATAAAATCAATGACAAATTCCGAATGGAAAGATCATCGAAAATACAGATTTCATATCTATGCGGGTTAGTACAAAAGAGAGTTTGACTTTAACTCTGATTTTGGGGAAATTTAGCTCTTGTTTGTGCTCTATTTCTGGTGACATTGTGCCGAACGATAGCTACACAACTGATATGTTTGAACACAAGTCGAATTCTCCATAATCGGTAAGATACTTTTTTTTCTAAATACATACATGTTTTATTTCTATTCTTCACAAATAGAATGCTTCGATGCATAATCTATTGTCCTATGAAAATCTTTGACACACATCCACTAGGTACGCTAAGCTCTATATATGAGTTTCGTATTAAAATTTATGCATTGTGTGCGGTAGATCGGATTCTAAATTGTTTCACAAAAGATATAACATTAATTGATGTCGTTCTCCCAGATATCATTCATGAATTTCTTCATGTAAGTGTATTCTGCATCGATTAAAAAATTGATTTCTATTCGAGTTCATTGAAGTTTGCGTTCTATGTGTTGGGAACACTTGCACTTGTGGGTTGGATCAATCTTTGGTCATTGATTGCAGTAGGCCTAACTATGGCGGCCATGTTCTTTATTCGAAGTCGAATTGCACGTTGTCTACGTGACTTGCGATGTATCGAAGATGCGACACGTGGTGCAGTACACTCGTACTTAACGTCAAGTGGTCACGGAATGAAAACAATTCGATCTTTTCGTGTCGAAGATATGTGTTCAAATCTGTTTCGTCAACACCTTGAGATGGACAATCGAGCAAATCATCTAATTATAAATATTAACCGCTGGGCTGGGCTTCGTTTAGACTGGATTGCTTGTAGCTTTTTTACATTAATTATTCTTTCTGCTATGACTATTCGCGTTGTAGGAAGTCGACTTTCAGCTGGAGAGATCGCTCTCACTTTTTCTTGCGCTTTCAATTTGGTTAGTCTTCTTCAATGGGCTATCAGGTAGAATTATTTCCATCGAGTACACTCAACTTTATGTCTTCTCGAAATAGATCATCTGTTGATTGCCAGACGCAAATGGCTGCAGTCGAACGCATATTAGATTATTGTTCATTAGAACGAGAGTCACCAAATGAAGTACCACATGATCGTTGTTCATCAAGAGATTGTGCACACAGTGGTGAAATTGTTTTTGATAATGTTTCAATATCTCATTCAACGAGTGTCAACGCACCGTTGGTTCTTAAAAATATCACATTAAAAATCGAGGGAGGCGAGAAAATTGGAATTGTTGGTCGCGCTGGAGCTGGAAAAACATCTTTAGTCGAAGCATTATTTCATTTGCGCGAGTCAATCAGTGGTCACATTAAGATTGATGACATAAACATCGATACGATTAGTTTAAGTGATGTTCGTCGTCGTTTAGCATTCATTCCACAAGATCCTGTACTGTTTGCCGGAACAATAAGAAGTAATCTCGATCGTTTCGATGAACATTCCGATGAGGAAATATGGAATACATTAGAAGACGTTAGACTGAAAAATTTAGTAGCTGAAAGCATGCCATTAGGCCTTCAATCCGAAGTAAGTGAAATTGGTTCGAAATTGAATGTTAGTCAAAAACAATTGGTATATCTTGCGAGAGCGATTCTCAAAAAGAATAAAATAATTGTTATCGATGAAGCAATTGATATGATCGATAACGAGTAAGTGGAAGATAGACTGTCGTTTTCTCCGCATCATATATGATTATATTTTTATTAGGACAGGCAAGATTATTCAACAAATCATTCGTAAGAAATTCAAAAATTGTACTGTACTAACTATTGCTCATCGTTTACAAACTGTTATTGGTTACGATCGAGTAATGGTAAGAGAATCAATGTGAAACATCCAATTGAATCGCATTTCTTTTCTTAGGTGCTTAATCACGGCGAACTACTTGAAATCGATGCTCCAAGCGTTCTACTGAACAATCCGCATTCACATTTATCGGCATTGGTTAATCAGTTAGGTGAAGTAGAATTTAAATATTTACAACAACTGGCCAATATTATCGCAAAACAAAATGATCAATCAGACTCTCTAGTCACTTGGTTCTAACTATGACATTCAAGACATTTCTCTGTGTATATGCGTGTTAGAGTGTGCACTGCGCTTACTTTCATCTACTCTTGATTGTTTTTCATTGCTCAGAAAACGAGTTTTGTGCATTTGCCGTCGGTGCGAGCACTCAAAGTTGGATTTTTCACATTCTCCGACGCCCTTGCCTGCACGTGTTGATGTTTTTTTCTCTTTCCTATATTGCAATATTTCTCGTTTTTCTCCTTCTTAATCATACTGTATCGTCACTAAATAGTTGAAAGTTGGAGTGGAGTGCTGTCAACGAGTTTTCCAACTAAAGTAAACGCGCACTTTTACTTCAGTCTGTATAAATACATATATATATAATGTCAGATGCTTAACTACTTCAGGTGGTATGTCGAAAAGGGTTTCATTGTCGCTGGTTACTTTACCTATTGAATTAGTCTACCGCATTTTGGACCATCTCGATAATTTTTCAATACTTGTATCGGCACGTAATATCTGTACAAGATTGAATACAATTATTGACAGTTATTATCCGTACCAAGTAAAATTTAATCAACGATTTCACAAAACTTTGCCATTTCTTGCAATTTCTATACAGACGTTTTCTGAGTTGGACCTGAAATGGCAAAGTTTGAGACAAAACCTATTCAAAAGTCTACTGCGTTCGTTACAAACCAACACCGTAAGACAAAGTTATCTATCAATCGCCGCCCGCCTTTTTGACGTTCGATCATACGATTGTAGACAATCACAACGTTCGAGCTCGATGGCCATCTGCTTAATAATGCAAACATTCAGGAGCTGGGTTACGTATTACAGAGAAATCAGGTTGGTTGCGTTCCACGACAACGTATACATAATGAATTTCAGTGTTTTATACTTATTTAAAAGAAGCTAACAAAACTAACAATATGTGGTGGAAATCGAATCGGCGCAGAAGCACTGCGACATCTAGCTGTTGGATTAAGCAGTAACCAGGTGAGTTATTTTCGAGCTGACTTTATAAGCTATTTGCATTACTATCGTCATTCGCAGACATTGACAGAATTAAATCTTGGAGAGAGCCAATTTGGCAGCGTCGGTGTAAGCCATCTTGCAAACGCCTTGGAAAAAAATACAGTCAGTACTCCTGAGCAGTATACTAGTTATCAACTGTATTGCTACTATTGATTAATGATTGCAGAAACTCTCAATACTGTGCCTTGCGTGGACGAATATCGGTGTCGAAGGAGCGCGCTCTCTATCGAATCTTTTACGAAACAGTACTGTATGTAATGTTTGCTAACCGATCATCATGCTCTCATATGAATGGCTCATTCCGTAGACGTTAACAACATTATTTATTGGAAAATGTGACATAGAAAATGAAGGTGCACGTGAGCTGGCTGAGGCGTTGACAAGTAATACGGTAAATAAAGTTGTCTTTTTCATATTGAATTGAATAACCATTGTCACTATGATAACAATTATAGACGTTAACGCAATTGGATATAGGACGGAACGGGATCGATGCTCAGGGTGTTAAGTATTTGGCTGACGCATTAAGCCACAACAAAGTAGTGCTTTACCGTCAGACGTACTCATTCATAATAAAATACGTTATAGACGCTGAAAACGACAGATCTTGCACAGAATACGATTGGCGATGAAGGTGCAAGATATTTATCCAATGCATTGAACAATTCGGTCAGTCCGATAATCGTTCAATTTTCGATCGTACTTTCAACATCGTTTATTTAGGCGCTGACAACATTGATTCTATGGGATTGTCAAATTTCTGATGAAGGAATACTATACATAGCCAGTGCACTACAATACAATGCGGTCAGTTTTGCTTTTCTAGGAGGTATTGTTTTTTTGTATCGTTTGTTTGTTTCGTATAGACACTAACGATGTTACACTTGGGCGAGAATCGAATAGGTAGTCGAGGTGCCCATCACATGGCCAGAGCTCTGCAGAAAAATTCTGTATACTAGAATTCTTATTTATCCATCGCATGTTCATTCAACGATATTTCGTAGACACTCACACTGTTATATCTCGGCACGAATCATATCGGTGACGAAGGTGCATTGTTTCTAGCAAATGGATTACAAAACAATACAGTAATTTTCACTTTAGAATTATTTGTCGTTGTCATTATCGACATCTGTTGTTAAAGACACTCTTGGAATTGTATGTTGAAAGAAATAACATTCATATGGAAGGCACGCAATATTTCATTAATGCGCTAGAAACAAATACTGTAAGTGCGATTTAACTCGTCGACACTTCCTTTCTGTTTATTTTTATCTTTCATAACAGACACTCAGAAAACTAGTTCTCTCCAGCAATTCAATGAGTCGTACGTGGATAGATGATCCAGTGCACACACAGAAAACGATATCGTCACGAATTAAGATCTAACATCTTTAATAATAAAGAGCTACGATTGCGGCATGACTTGATTGATAATTATTTGTGCCGTACGCCTGGATCGATTTCGATGAATTCGAAATATAACATAGGTCAATTGTCGACGAAATCTCTCCGATACACACATATATATGTAGAATGAACTCTATGTAATTAGAAGACAAAAGAATTATTTGTTCGAAAGGGATACAATCGTACTTACAGCGTAATAGACATAGTAGAGAAGTTGAGTCGACGTAGAACGTAATTGTGTTTGTGCATAAAGAAGTGGATCCTCAATCGTTTTCATGTTTAATGAAATCACATTAATAATTGTATACGGCATGATAGTAAAAACATTCACGAAAACTTGCGATAGGACCATACTTGTCAGTTGTTTGTCTAATTCTCTTCGAACAAGTGGTATTGTATAATGAGGTATCTGTCGCGTGTTGTAATATGCTAACAAACCGCATGAAATAGTAATAGTAAGTGGCAACACACCAAACAGAGTGAGAACGATGACATAGATACGATATTGCAGAAAAATCGGATCTGTCATCGAACAACTCATCTTGTGTGTAATAGGTGATAAAATATGCTTTAAATATATTAGATATGGAATGCTATGAATCATCCAAACGCAAGCGAATACGCCAATTAAACGTCGAGCAAGTTTAATGTTGCACAATTGTTGTAAACGTTGTCGACTGCTCGTAGCACAATATTGATCCATTGTTGCTAAACAGAAACATGTCAATGAAAGCGAAGTGCAAATACTCAGGAGATACAACCGAAATTTACAATAGAATAATGACGTTTCTGTTCCATCAGTATTGTATATAGCAAGTAGAATTCGTGGCAATAAATCAGCAAGTAAATCGCAAATATTCACTATCGACATAATGGTTAAATACAATGAACAAGAATTTTGACGAAACGTTCGAAGACTAAGAAATACAATGATATTAAGACATCCACCAATGACGCCAGTAATCACAATAGATATACCACCATAGATAGTTAGTTGCTTGGTGGCAAAGACTAACGACGAAACACTCGATGTCGACATAATGTTTTCGGAGAATAAAGATTCTATTCAATGAGAGATTCAGGTTTTATCAACTTTGTTTGATCAGTCAATAAACATGAAATGTATCGTGTAAAATTAGAGAAAATTGTTGCATGATAATGCGTCTGAGTTTAATTGACAGTTATATGAATTAGTTTGCATCAATCATCAAAGAAAATTAATTGTGATTATTCACAGAGCATTTCACGAGATACTTTCTGCATTTATCATTCTAAGACGAAATGTTTTTTGCGGACATTTTTGGTCACATATATCAAAAACCTAATCCTCTGTTATAGACCACCTGTGAAGAATATACACAATGTGCATACAAAAATCCTGTATTCCATTTCGTTTTTTTAATAAGTATTTATTTCATACTGTGTATATATATTACCCAAAAAAATATATATATGCTTTAATCATTTACCGATCTAATCAATCGTCAAATACCTTCGTTTCTCTCCACTGAAAGAAAACTAATATGCTTCGATTACAATCGCTCGCCGTTTTAGTGTTTATTGGACTTGTTGCCTATGCAAACAGTTTATCAATTAAGCCAATCAAACCAATCAAACCAATAGAATTAACTGACAATGTCAAAGGACTTCGTGTTGGTGGAATAAAACAAGTGTGTGGTGGTGCAGAACTTGAAATTCTATCTATCGAAGATAGCCGATGTCCAGCAAATGTTATGTGCATTTGGGCAGGATTAGCTAAAGTTCAAGCACGTCTTTCGAACAAGGAAGCATCAGAAACTGTTGACTTAGTACTCGGCTTACCTCAAAACAACGTCGAAGTTACTCTTGGTGCTAATGTTTATGCAGTTACCCTTGAAAGTGTTGTTCCATATCCTGGACTTGGCGTGAACAACGCTGTGAAAGAAGCTGTTGTTGAAGTAACATGCTCTTAAAAGTTTCTTCCGAATTCTCTAATAAATATGAACTAAAATGTACATATTTCCCCTTTCACTGAAACGAAAAGAATGGTAGAAAAAAGATCTGCATACATTCTTACCCAAACTCTTGACAAATACACTTGTGTTGAGCAGTCACGATGAGTTAATGATTTATCAGTTGATAAGATAATGTTAATTGTTACTTATGGTAAACATTGTTAGCAACGAGCGAGTGGATTCAAGCTTTATATTTTGCATAGAAAGGCAATCATCACACCAACATTTTTTACTTGATATAAAAGCACTCTTGATCCAAAGGGAAATATTCCCTGTAAGTCATCCAATTTCAGCATTAATTTCCAGAAAACGGACCGATTTCCATGATAAAAGTAACCAACATGATTTAGCTATGAAATATTACCGAAATCCAATGGAGTTTTATGAAAACTGTTTTGCTTAAATGATCTATCAGCAATAAAAACGATGCTTGTGTCGAATACTGCTCGTTGTTACAATTATCTCTATTCAGCATTTTGGAACATGCTATAAATGTCTATAAGAATGTTCGTACCATCTACAAAGATGTATTCTTCAATATTTGTCTGGAATTATTGTCACCGTATTACGAACAGATGGAAAAGATCTACAGCGTGTTTCCAATGAAGATAGCGAATAGAGTTTGCAAACCGAAAGACTAAAAAGCATTTTATTCATTTCAGAATGAATGTTAAAACAATACTGAAAAGAGAATAGTGACGAGATCGAAAGTTCATCCCATTATGAATAGAATTGCTAGTGATATTGCTGTTCTAGTCGAGTATTGCCAACAAAATCGATAGTTGTTGAATACAGTGTGAATCGCGCCATGTTTCAGGAAATAGATCTGGAAATGTTCAAGAGCATATTAGTTGAGGCGGACAGCGATAACCAACTGCAGCAATATTGATTGTAATATGTCCTACGCCAATAGAATTGTGAAGCAATGGAAGCTAAGTGTGCAGCTTGATCGAACGGAATGAATGGGTCAAGTTGACTGGATATCATTAATAGTGGCGAGTATGATGCTACTTGATGCTGATATTGGTCTAGTAGATATTTGAACTATTGTGAACGTATTCAAATATACTCTTTAGCACCATCTGGAGCCATTACAGTTGACTCGTACCAAGCAATGATAGTTTTTTCATCCAATTCTGATAATTTAGGAGGCCCGAATATATCAATCTTGTACTATTTTGTTTCATTCTACTCATACTACCTGATACCCTTCGAAAGAAGAAGCTCAATGCAGTTACACCTTCTTTATTACAACGATGCAAACGAAATATTACTGTTAGTATGATTGTGCGATCCATATATTGTTCGCCAGGCTGAATCATTCCAAAAAGTAAGTTACGAACTTGCGGTCTGATATCTACTGATACTGACTAAAATAACTATTTACACAGACTTGCTTGTTAACGTCCGATTGTTTTAAAATATCACGAGACATGACTTGTGGTGGTTGTTGATCAACAGAAAAAAAACTAGTTACATTCGACGTCTATTGGACAATAAATTGAAAATTGTGAACCAATAGCGGATGTCCAAAGATCATGACGACTAACAGAACCTAACAGAGCGTTCACAACTCCGTCCATCATAGCTGACTGGAATAACAATGGATAGATCTGCAGAAAACGATCCAACCATCGTGTGACTGCAGTAATCGAGAATTGATCTAGTCCGGAGGTGCCTAATTTCATCGTTAGATAGGTGATGCAATTAGAATTTATATTTTTTGAGTTCTGGTCATCGCAGCTGACCCACCCACTCACACCCTTCTCGCATCTCTAACAATACAAAGACAACAATCTAGATGACTCTTTTCTTTTATTAATTATCAGTATCTCTTTTCATTGCACCAAAAAAATACTTTCGAAATAAAACACGCTTAGCCGCACATAAGTCGAACTCCCCATCCTGTAGGACAATAGTTGTTGAACGATGTCGAGAAGGAGCATGAGTACAAATTTGAACCACCAGTGTTACATGATACGCCACTCAACATATAGTAACATGTGCCAGATCGTTCAATCTTCGACACTCGGTGTTGTGAGCGACACTTTTCAATATTACTGTTAACACTCCAGCTGGAAAAAGTGTTTCCACTGTTCTGATGACCAAGCATACGACACATAGTATCAGCTGTAGATTGAGTGAAGCCAGAACTGCACACTAATCCTTCGATTGAGAACTCGTCACCTGTGAGAACGCTACGAATGTCGATGACCACTTTGAGGGGACTTGTACTGCTGATGGCATAGCTCTGCACACTATATGCATGGATCAAGTTGAAGATCGGTGAACAGCCTTGTAGTGCAGTTCGATGATCATCAGTTGTCAAGGCGGTTCCATTTTCACCGAGCGATTCGATCGCAAAAGGCCGCTGTTTGAATGGCACATCGTAATGCATGTTTGCTTCGTCATGAATTGTTTCGCCCATTGCCTCGTAGCCATGTTGAAAGCATGTTACGAGCAAGATCCATGAAAGAATAGATGCTTGAAAAGCCATTGGAATGTGTTTGAATAGTTGATTGAGTTTGTGAATGATACAGCAGTGGAACGCATGCTTTTTATACTAGTTGAAGACCGGGAGGTTTGCTCATTTAGTTGTCAGATGCGTTTTTTCTCTGTGCGAGAAGCAGGGTGAGTGATAAGAAATGCCTGGTATTGGTGTGTCGAGGATGAGAACGGAACAACTGGTGACGCCTACAGGCTGTTCGCTATTGTATATTCCGCGAAAAGAATACCTGTGTACGATGGAACATTCGACAACTTTCCGCGAAAATGAATGCATGAAAAAGCGCAAACAGCTGATAGGATTCTCAAATAATAATTATGCATAGATGCTATTGTCGCAAAATGAAAGGGTATCGAGCGATAGTCGATGCAATGTGAGGTGATAATGAGGGTGTCATCGACGCAGGCAAGTTAATCACAGAGAAAATTGTAACCTCATACTATCGAGAGAAGGTGAAAAACGGAGATGACTATTGCTGAGTTGTTGTTTTGCATAGCATTTTTTTCTTTTCAAAGAAAAAAAAAGCTTTTACGCTTGTATTTCAACCTTGAAACATGGCTCGATTTCGATTTTTCACCTTCACCATCGAATTCTGAGACGCTAATCGCTCTCAACAGAAGCGCAAAATAAACAAAACTTTTCTCCAACAATGAGTCTTGTTGGCAACTATAAAAGTGTGCAGTGCACTTTTTTCAAAATACAATTGACGATCTCTCAGGTATGGGTTGTGGAAATAGCTCAAACGCTCGCACTGTTCCTCCTACTCAAGTGACTGAATCGAACGTTAATAATCAGCGAACCGCGCCAGTTTCTGAACCAGTTCGACGTGTAGCCAGTGCTTCGTCTTCGAAACGAATCAATAGAAAAAGTATCACAAGTATCGGTTCTCATTCAAGTATTCACATCGGCACATCGAAGATCGGCAATAACCATGTGAAAAGTCCATCAGTACACTCGGCGACTGCCGATGTTAATCAAAACATTATCATAGTATGGGCAGATGCAAATATTGATCAAAAGAAAAAATTGTATCATGATTCAATAACAAAACTTCAACGACTCACTTCTTCAATCTATACATACCGTAAATCGGCAGAATGCGTTAGTTATGTCGATAGTGTAACAGAGAAAAAGATCTTTCTAATCGTATCCGATGAAATGGGAGAAGAGCTCATACCGCTCGTTTACGACAAAGAGCAAGTTGATTCGATTTATATATTTAGTCAAACTAAAAAAAGAAGTTTGCCATGGGTAACGAAATGGTCACAAAAAGTCAAAGAAATTTTATTTACTATGGAAGATGTCTTCGAACAGATCAAAGTCGATAGTGGCCTAGTTGGCAGTTTAGTACCGATTAGTATAATACGTCGAATGAATGTTCCCGAATCGGTGGCAAACGAATTGAACCAGTCGTATATGTATACACAGTTACTCAAAGACATTTTACTAGAAATGAAGTATGATTCTACAGCGAAAAGTAAACTGGTAGACGACTGCCGAGCCA